TGATTTCAAGCAACTGTAGTAATTTAGCATAGAATAAAATTGCTTATTGGTCTTTTATAACTAGATTATAATCGTTAATAAACGAAAACTAAAATGTATAAAATACTTTTCTAAAATACTCTATCACATTATTTTCTTCGAAGAATTCTTTCTGTAACTTATCATCTTGTTGAATCCATGGGTTATTTTATAATAATATCTGGCCAAACAGTCTGACCTTACTCATCGATTTGCTACATAAATCTTAGAATATGGTGTTTTAATATCGATTTCGATAGAGACAATTTATCTGTAGATGTATTTCGTCTAATAGCTAAAATGTACATCAGTAAGTTTACACTGTATCTATCGTCACTTGATTTTTTTAAAGAACTATATCCTGATGAAAAAAGGCAAATTATCGAAATATAAAAAATAACCTACATGATTACCATTAAACCATTACCATGAAAACTATTATCAAACATTATATCAAAAGCAACACCACCACCAGTTAAAGACGAAAAACACCGAAAAATAGTAAAAATATTGGATCTGAAGATATACCAAATTTAACAGAGGACGACATAAGAAGCGCAATGAGCACTAGACGAAATAAAATAGTTGCAAGTAAAGACTAAATAGTATAAGAAATGATAAAGTATGGTGGACAACACGTAATAAAAAAATTAAAATCATTTTTAATTCTTCTTCTTAACGTGCCCCATCCATAAGGACATTGCCGATCATCATCGCCCATTTGACTCTATCTGCAGCCGTTCTGAAAAGTTCTATTGACGTTTTCCCACTCCATTGTCTTAGATTCTTCAACCAGGACGTGCGTCTTCTCCCCGGTCCTCTTTTGCCTTCCACCTTTCCTTGTATGATCAGCCGCATCAATTCGTATTTCTCGTTTCTTAGTATGTGACCAAAGTAGCTCATTTTTTCTTTCTTTATAGTGTTGAGTATTTCTTTATCTTTTTTTATTCTTCGTAGCGTTTCTGCATTTGTTATATGTTGTGACCAAGATATTTTCCACATTCTTCAATAACACCACATTTCAAAATCAATGAGTCTTTTTTTTCTCTGTCGCCTCTGTAATTGTCCAAGCCTCAACTATATACAACACGACAGCACGTAGCATCTCAATACTCTGGTTCTAATTTCAGTGTTGAGTTTTCCATTGCATAATATTGCTTTCATCTTATTAAAAGTACTTCTAGCTATCTCAATACGCCGTTTTATTTCCGTACTTCTATCTCATTCTTCATTTATTTCGCAACCTAAGTACTGATATCTGTGCACCCTGCCTAAAAGTTTTCCTTTAGCATAAGCACTGCCTTCCTTAATCTTGTTCTTGCTTACCATAATGATTTTTGTTTTATTTGTATTTAGTGCCATTCCATACCTTTCACAGTATTGGGTAATGCGATCAACCAAGATCTGTAGTCCTTCTCTGCTGTCCGCAACGAGTATTGTTTTTAAGGACATTTTTAATAAATGTATAGAAATAAGTGATCCACAGCTTGATTAAGTGAACTAATAATATTGAGATTTAAAAAGGGAAATAAATATAAATTATAAAACTGTAGACCCATTATCCTGTTGTTAGTGTTCTATAAGCTATTTGTGAAGATAATTAAGTTATGACTAACAAACAAAATGGATAGTTATCAGCATCGGGTGTAGACAGAATTTAGAAAAGGTTATAGCACCATAGATCGTATACAAGTAATAAAAACACTAATTGAAAAATAAAACGAACACAATATAACACTCTGAATAGCTATGGTAGATTACGAAAAGGCATTTGACTCTAAAGAAATTTGGGTCATGCTTACTGCAACAATACAGTGGATGAAGAGTATACAAAAATCATTAAGTATACAAAAACAATAAATCTACAGAAAAGGATTAGAAATTAAAAAAAATAAAATAAAAGAATTAGGTCTAAAAATAAATATAGCAAACACTGAATACTAAACGAGTCTATATATAACTGAGAATATAACTCTGGACAATAATAATATGTGTATAAAAATTTGGTCAGATATATACTAAAGACAAAAAATCGAATTATTAAAGTTTAAGTTAAGGGCAGATTTAAATAGAACCTGTTCCTTGACATAGGCAGCATTCTAAAAATTACAAATAGTATTTAAATCCAACTTACCAAAGTCAAAAACTTTTGATGAATACGTTTTGTCGGTACTGACATATGGAACTGAAACATAAGCTTTTAACAACTTAGTTATGGCATAGTGCCACAAACTTCAAGTGACTTCAAGTGCAAGGGTAGATAAAGTGACAATATAACAGCAAGAGTAGATAAAATGTTTTACCTTTTTTTTATTCAATAAAATTTGCAAATTCAAACACACTAAGGATTAAAAACAACTGAAATTTTACAATTAACATTATTAAAACTATGTATTTTTGTAGCATCACAACTTGTACTCGTTTACTTAAACACTTGATTCGAAGTACTGGATTGATTTTCTGTAACATTTGTTTGACATTTGTTGACAGAGTATTTCATATATCCCTAGCAACGGAGCAACACAATTGCGATTTTTGTGCTAAAAATTACAATTTTCTTTGAAATTATATTTTTTATCTAAACTTGAAGTCTTGCTATAGAAAAAAATGTTGTATTGTACACGACGTTAAATTCGCATTATCTTCTCGAGCATAATTAGCATCTCGACTGACGTCTCGACGCTAAAAAACGCTCTCGAAGATAAAGTACAATTTTATCGTTTTGTACAATAAATAACTATTAATTTAGTGACTAACCTGTAAAACTTTAATATAAATTAGAGAAAGGGAAAAATGTATTGAGTTAAAATTTAAACTACGAATAATGTACGTGGTAAAAATTAATATAAAAATATAATTTTTCTAAATATATAAACAAATTTATTTGACTATCAAAGACCTCGACATAATACTTTCAATCGACTATTACGAATTTCTCTATAATTTGATATAATTTTAAATAATTGAGGTTGGCGCTACTCGCACGTTGAATAAAAATTGCTAAAACATTTTGATTATTCAATTTGGAAATCTAAAGCGTTTCAATCAAAATTAAGAGTTCAAATACATCGAATTATTTTAAAATAAGAATTTAAAATATTTAAATCTATCCAACTAAATATAAAATTTTATTATAATAATTATAAAATAAAATATCTTTTTTTTATTTTTTTTCTTATTTATTTACTCATTAAGCTACCACAATCACCAAATTTTATATAAAAAAAGTTGTGCACATTTTTATTTCAAAAATTTTCGTACCAAATTTGAACTGTGGCCACCGAGTTATAGGTCATGAGTTATAAGTTGTAGTAAGCTTATGATACAATTTATTATTAAAAGTGATGTGTGACTTACTTCACTTTATTTTAAATACATAGTAGTTCTAGTTCTCTTATTACACAAAATATTATTACATTTATGTGATTATACACGCAGATGATACATAGATCGCTTTTGGAATAAATGACATTATTCTAACCATGGACGTATAAACACAGATGGACTCAGTTATTTACATAAAATTGTGTAGTCAAATTTATTTGAATAGGTCACATTCTCAGCACCTTCAACTGTTGTCACGTTTTGTTTTAAAATTTCTTATTCGCGAGTCGCTGAAAATATAACAACGTATTTTTTATACTCTACAGGTGCTATCAAACCAAAATAATAATTTATTGGTTAGATTAATATATTTAATTGTAATCAAAATATCATGTGTGCACATAGTGTGCATTATCATTTAATAATAGCGTATAATAGATATAAATCAATTATTTTATATGTAGAAGCACTGAAAACTATAAATGGCAACGGTTGTTTACATTTCTCTGTCTTATGGATCTACGTCAAACTTAAAATTCTGTTCCATGTTTGTTTACTTTTTACAGTAGATGAGGAAAAGTTGTTTTTCGATATTTTGGCTGTATTTTGGGTGATATTTGTAAAAAGTGAAATAAAATAAACGAAATATTTACATCTCGATCTCTCATTTCATTTGTAAGTACATACAACTTACATTATTTAAAATGAGGAAGTGAGGAAGCGTGTTTGTTTACTTTTTAATAGGCGTACCATTGGGTTTATTCATGTTCATTCTTCTTCTTTCAGTGCCTATTCGTTCCGAATATTGGCAATCATTCTGGCTATAATTATTTTATTAACTGCTGCTTTAAATAAATTCGTTGTTGTTGTGGAGAACCATTTCCTCAGGTTCTTTAACCATGATATTCTCCTTCTCCCAATTCCTCGCTTTCCGAATACTTTACCCTGTAGGATTACCTTCAGTAATCTGTATTTTATGTTCATTGTTCATTAATGTATTAAATAAGATATGAGTTTATGAAATTAGTAGACATTTTAAATTGTAAATAGACATCATCTGATTAAAAATGATCTGTTTAGTACCCTTTTAATTTAATATTTCTCATGAATACAAATAAATTAGTGAAATGAATAAAACTTATTTATTTTTCTATGTAGGTCTCCAAATAATATTGACGATCGAACTATTTGGGTAGCAAATTGAGGAGAAAACATAAAGATTTTTTATTGTAGCATTATTTTGATACCTATTAAAAAGTTAACTTGAATTCTATATTCTAAACTATATTTATTGGTATTAATTTTAAAGCAAATATAATTTTATTTTAATTTTTCTATAAAGACGTGATTTGTTAATAGTTAAACTCTCGTTTTTTTTTAATTTATTGAATTGTTTTTATACGTTATTACTACTTCCAATTTTTAAAATCTGAATAATTACCCGCGAGTAAAAATTCAAGCACGCTTATGCTAATTGCGGAAGCATCACATTCTATCGAAGCTTCAAAATATTGTGTGTTAAAGGTATCTTATTGCTGTGTCCATCTATGTTTATACGTCCATGATTCTAACAGGTTCTGCTAAAGTTTCAAGACTTTGTTTTAAACTAACAAACATAAAAATAAACAGAATATAATTTATTTTTTTTTTTGTTTTAGGTGCTTTTCTGGTGCCGTATTTAATAATGTTAGTATTCTGCGGAATACCATTATTTTTTTTAGAAACTTCTCTTGGTCAGTTTGCCAGTGTAGGATGTACAAAATTGTTCAACATATGTCCTTTATTTAAGGGTAAGTTTGGTTTAATTTGGTTCATTTTTATTAGGATATTAATTATTTTATACTAGACCTTTTTAACATAATAAAAATAGATGACAACATAATCCATAAAATAGTGACTTTGATTTTTTTTCGGTAAAATCTAAGAAATATTGAACGAGAATATGAAGTTACAAAAGTAGAGTACACATTTAGAGTACATTAGATGACAAAAATATATTATATAGAAAAAATGGAAAACACTTAAAAACGGATTGATATAATTGTTAATACACCAGCAAAAATCAAAACGAATAAATAGTAAGAATTGGATTGAATTGGTTTGGAAAATCGTATATAAATAATTTTACTAACCACATTAAACAGGAGAGGTTTTTATTTCTTTTATGAACGACTAATGTAATATTTCCGAATCATTTACATACTGTTTTCACTTATTTCTAACGTTATTACCTAGTTATTAATAAAGTGTTCATAAATAAAGTATAATTTCTATTCGTACTCTCTTCGGCGGTACATATACTAAAATCGGAACAATACAGAAAAGATTAGCATGGCCCATGCGTAAGGATGACACGCAAAATCGTGAAGCGTTCCACATTTTTATACAGTTCACAACACGTCTTTGTCTTGGAGCATTCCGTTCTAGTCCGGCAGAAAGTCTCTACTGTGGAGCTAATGAACCTCCTCTATGGCTTAGGCGAGAAAACCTTCTTCTCTCCTATGCTACTGCAATTTCTTTTAAACCGTCCAATTCCGTATATCATTTAATTACATCATCACATCATCCCCATAACAACTCTCCATGTAACTTTATTTTACATCCTATTCCTAGTCTTCTACAGCCGTTACTAAAACATATAAATTTGTCTGAAACCAGAACTCTACCATTCTCCAATAATCCCTATTGGACCAACATACTCCCACATCATGATATTTCACTCACCAAGTTTAACAAGGAAGATACCAGTATTAGTACATTAGAAATTCTCTTCCTAGAACATATAAACAAAAATAAATATAACATAGTTTTTTACACTGACGCGTCAAAAACTAAAAGTAGTGTTGGATATTCTGTAACCACTGTACAACAGCCTATTTAACTCTCTAAAATCTTTCCTTGGTGTAGTATCCACACTGGTGAACTACTAGGTATCTTACATGCTTTCAAATATGCTTAACAATATCCAAATACACACATAGCATATGCTCTGATTCACTTTTCTTTATACACTCCATTAATGCTATATTCACCAAACATCATATCGTCCAAGATATTCATGACAAATATCAGCTTCTTATAAACCAAAATATAACTATCACTCTGATATGGGTACCATCCCATGTTGGTATTAGTGGTAACGAAAAAGCTGATTGTCTTGCCAAAAAACCCGCATCATCCACGGACACCATTATGAATGTACAGATATAAAACGATCTCAAAGCTAGACTAAAGAAGAATAATCTATACACCTGGCAGATTCACTGGAATAATGTTACTTCAGCGCTGCACGAAACTAAACCTTCAGTGAACCTTCTTAACTATCCCAGTTTATCTCGAAAAAATATGGCAATCATACGGAGACTGCGTATAGGACATACCCGTCTAACTCATGGCTTCCTGATGACATCATCTCCACAACCAAAATGTCAGCACTACAATACGACTCTCCGAATCAGGCATATACTTATCGAATGCCCTTTTTATGCCAAAATACGCTAGCAGCTCGATATCAGCACTAACTTCAAAGAGGTTCTAAACAGCACAGGCCATATCAACAAGGTTATCAAATTCCTAGAGAAAAGTCAACTGCTCAACAAAATATAAATCTTATATTAAAAGTTTTTATTATTTTCTCTGTATGCTAAATGTAAACTACATTATTTTTTAATTTATATGATATTACTATGTAAATCGTAACTCGTGCTAATGACCATAGATGTTACACGCACGTTAATTTAAATAAAAAAAAATTATATTTAAACATAATGAAATTAGGGACAACGATTCGAACCTTTTAGCGAGGTTGGACATATTTAATAATTATCAGTCTAATCGAACCTAGTTTTTGCGCTATTATTTATGTCCATTGAATAATTAGAGTGTTGTGTTATTATAAATAGAAATGAGTGAATTTATTGGAGAAAATCCGTAAGTACTTTAAATCTAATTAGATGTTTACTTCAAAACTATTTTATATTGTTTATTACCTGATGTCATTAAACAACGAAAATGAATGATGATAATAGTGCAGAGGCTTCGAGGCTCCAAACGTTATTGACATCACCTAAAGCTTCTTAATATTCTGTAGCGTTAATCAACTCCAAAATTCCCTTCCATGGAACAAGCTCTTTTATATACTGCTCTGGAAAACGCCAAACTTGAGGAATATCTACTTGCACCGAAAAAAATTATAGAACCAAGATAAATTATTTTTCATCACGAATTTCAAGTCACCGTATTTGTATTTACCGAGCTAGTGAAGAATTAGTAGAAACTGTTATGAATGCTGACAAAGGAAGAATTACTATCAATTAACAAATAATCTATGAAAAGAAAAAGACTTTGTATTCAAGCGTGTATCTGCTTATACGTATTTCGCTCTAATAGGGATCGTCAGAACAGCTATTCACAGACGTTCTGAACGTAAAAATAAATCTTTTCTATCTTAGGAAGCAACTCTAACGTGGCTTTGTATAGACGCAAATAGCGACATCTGATATTAAAATCCATAAACTAATTTTCTAAACCAAAATCAGATTTTTGCTTTAATCTGCGCCTTCTAAGAATTGCAAGGCAAAACAGACGTTGATTAAGATATTATTAGGGACATGGGGAATCTAAAATTTGCATTTCACGACATATATCCTCAACTAAGCATAAAGCCTTAGCGAAAATCTGAATTTGATTTTGAAAAATAGCTTACGGATTTTAATATCAGATGTCGCTATTTGCGTCTCTACGAAGCCATGTTAGAGTTGCTTCATAAAACAGAAAAGATTTATTTTCACGTTCAGAACGACTGTGAATAGCTGTTCTGAGGAGCCCTATTAGGGCGAAATACGTATAAGCAGATACACAGACGCACTATACGTGAAATCAAATCTTGACTGTCTTTTTCTTTTTATTTTGACTTACTCTGTACAAGTAGAAGAAACCAATTCGATAAGGATTTTTTTATAGTTGAGGAGATAGGTCCTGGAATGAAAATTTTAGTTTCCCCATGTCTCTAATAACATCTTTATTAACGTCCGTTTTGACTTGCAATTCTTAGAAGGCACAGATTAAAGCAAAAATCTGAATTTGGTTTCGAAAATTAGTTTACAAATAGTTTATGCTTGACGCATATTTACACCAAATGAAATATTACTGGTATTTAATGTTTGCCCTAGTATTCCTTACACTTTGATAGGATCTGAACTTAAAAAGTTAGGCCTCAATTTATTGACTACAATTATTTTTTTACGAATAGGTACAAGTCCAGAATATAGATATATACTGAGCTTTTAAAGACATACATTTGTCTCTCCTTTTGAAAGCTACATTAATGTCTCCCTCAATTGTCATAAGCCACAATCAAACATCTTATCGTATTTTCTTATCTTTAAAAAAGCAGATGTGTTACTATTGTAAACAATCTGACTATTTTGCAGCAAATTGTCCATCCTGTACAAATCCAAATCAAAACTTAACAACAACATAGCCAACTATTACTATAAATACAGTGGATAATACCCGACGTCCCGATCACATCAGCATCATAAGCGAATCTCTTCCTTACAATCCTCGACTCTACCTTCTTCATTAACTATACCAATATTAACTCCGTCTTAACTATCACCCTCAACATCATTCCCAAGTTCTAAAACTACATGCTACTATAACAACTACCCAGTTATCAACAACACCTATTGTTTCACAACCTCATATATCAATCTCAAATTCTACCTTAACACTTACATGCCCTATTAATAGCATATCAATAACTACCACTGATACACTTAAAATAACTAATAGACCAAGTAAAGAAGTAAACACAGCTAAGCGTACCCTTGGCGAAATTTTAACCCACCTTTACAAGAAGCTAACGAAAATTTTACAAAACCTTAAATGACATAAATAAAAAAAAATGACAAAAATAGAGGAAGAAAAATAAAAGCTATCCTAAATAATCTCAATTTAAATCTACCTCCTATTTATTGTTTTTTTATTTTATTTTTTTTAATTTCTACCTTCACCCTAACTTCCTAGCCACTAAATACCATTGTCACTGTCATTGTCATTGTCACCAAATACGTATAAGCAGATACACAGACGCACTATACGTGAAATCAAATCTTGACTGTCTTTTTCTTTTTATTTTGACTTACTCTGTACAAGTAGAAGAAACCAATTCGATAAGGTTTTTTTTATAGTTGAGGAGATAGGTCCTGGAATGAAAATTTTAGTTTCCCCATGTCTCTAATAACATCTTTATTAACGTCCGTTTTGACTTGCAATTCTTAGAAGGCACAGATTAAAGCAAAAATCTGAATTTGGTTTCGAAAATTAGTTTACAAATAGTTTATGCTTGACGCATATTTACACCAAATGAAATATTACTGGTATTTAATGTTTGCCCTAGTATTCCTTACACTTTGATAGGATCTGAACTTAAAAAGTTAGGCCTCAATTTATTGACTACAATTATTTTTTTACGAATAGGTACAAGTCCAGAATATAGATATATACTGAGCTTTTAAAGACATACATTTGTCTCTCCTTTTGAAAGCTACATTAATGTCTCCCTCAATTGTCATAAGCCACAATCAAACATCTTATCGTATTTTCTTATCTTTAAAAAAGCAGATGTGTTACTATTGTAAACAATCTGACTATTTTGCAGCAAATTGTCCATCCTGTACAAATCCAAATCAAAACTTAACAACAACATAGCCAACTATTACTATAAATACAGTGGATAATACCCGACGTCCCGATCACATCAGCATCATAAGCGAATCTCTTCCTTACAATCCTCGACTCTACCTTCTTCATTAACTATACCAATATTAACTCCGTCTTAACTATCACCCTCAACATCATTCCCAAGTTCTAAAACTACATGCTACTATAACAACTACCCAGTTATCAACAACACCTATTGTTTCACAACCTCATATATCAATCTCAAATTCTACCTTAACACTTACATGCCCTATTAATAGCATATCAATAACTACCACTGATACACTTAAAATAACTAATAGACCAAGTAAAGAAGTAAACACAGCTAAGCGTACCCTTGGCGAAATTTTAACCCACCTTTACAAGAAGCTAACGAAAATTTTACAAAACCTTAAATGACATAAATAAAAAAAAATGACAAAAATAGAGGAAGAAAAATAAAAGCTATCCTAAATAATCTCAATTTAAATCTACCTCCTATTTATTGTTTTTTTATTTTATTTTTTTTAATTTCTACCTTCACCCTAACTTCCTAGCCACTAAATACCATTGTCACTGTCATTGTCATTGTCACCACTTCACTGTTTGTCTAGATAGATCCCACCCGATCAGACGTGTAACAAGTATTTGCAACAGACGAAAATTACCTGCAGACATAGCAAAATTAAAAATGAGCAGGTATATTTTTCAACGTTTGGAAGTGGATGCTATAGATAGAATTATTATCTACATGACATTTTGTTTCCAGAAATACGAAACGTTGGCCGATGGTAGTATTTTATAATATCCTTAATTTCGCGGAAATTAACGCATTTGTAATTTACAAAGGCAACAACCCAGATAGAGAATTTTTTAAAACGCAGACAATTAAAAAAAACTAATTGATACAGATTATACGATGGAGAGCAGTTGACAAGCATTTGTCAAAAGCTATGCGTGCTTCAACCTTAAGACCATCAAGGCATTGAGGTCGAGGTTTTACCAGAACCCCTGCCAGGTCAGAGAGAAAATGGCAAATATAAGACGAAAAAGTCACCTCTATTTGCAAAATTTGCAATGTGCAAATAAAATTTTTTGAATATATGCAAATCCTGGCTTTGTATGGCCCATAAAGTGACATGCTACAAATTTAAACACCCAACTTTAACCGCTGTAAATTGTGTCCACAATTTAATTTAATTTTTAACTTTTAATTTTTTTTTGTAATACTGTGTTTACTTTTACATTAAGATTTAAAAATTTTTTAGTATTAAGTTGCTGTTCTCAAATTAAAACAAATGTATTGAAATTGTATTGGTGGTATTTCATTTTGGTCCTTATAGACCACATCCGACCGAAATTGTTTCAGAATGAGCATCCGATGAACGGAGGGTTAATAACCCTTCTTCGCACTGCACGCAGATACAGTGATTGTCGTCGGGGGCTAAAGTAAATTTCTTTATGACGAAAGTAGTCTGAAGGTAGTTATTTTTATCGTAAACATTGTATAAGTTAAAGCCTTTGCGATTTCGTTAATAAAAATAATTTTGGCACCGATATTTATTCAAAAAAATTCTTTGACAGTAGACTTTTGATACTTCTAGTCTTCACTGGGGAAGGTCGACGAGGTCAGACTGTAGGTCCTTATGGTTTAGAACAACCCAACGATCGAGGACAGAGATTGTATGAATTCTGTAAAGAAAACGATATGATCATTGCAAACATCTGGTATAAACTACCCAAGCGACGACTATACACTTGAAAAGCCCCATTTGATGATAGCAATAACCCTGAGTCTTCAAAAAATCAAATAGACTATATACTTGTAGATGACGTTTCTGAAATGCCGTCAAAAAGTCACTACATATCCTGGAGCAGATATTGGATCTGATCGTCAACCACTCGTAGCAGATATTAAACTAAGGTTAAAACGAATTCAGCGACAAAAACCAAAAACCAATGTACTTAACTTTGACGATATAAATATAAAACATAACGTTAAACATGAATTTAACAATAGAATAAAAAATTTAACAATGTAACAGAATATAGACACCTACAGAGAAGAATAAAAAAGGAGATCAAATTAGCCAAAGAAAAATGGATGAGAGAAAGGTGCGACGAAATGGAGGATGTAATACCTAAACACGACTTATTTAATGTGCACAAAAATTGAAAGAAATGAGTAATATATTTAAAAAACGAGTTCCCTCTATACTTGTTGACATTAATAACAAAATTATTGTAAATGAGCAAGAAATAAGAAAAGAATGGCAGCTGTATATATCAGAGTTGTTTGAAGATGACAGGAATAATATTGTCGAATTCTACCAAAACTGTACTGACGGCCTAGAAATTATGAAATACGAAGTAAAACATGCTATAAATAACGCAAAAAATGAAAAAGCAGATGATACACCAACTGAGTTGCTGAAACAAATAGAGAATGATAACACAAAAGTAGTAGTAGTAGAGTGATTCCCGCAGATTGGCTCAAATCCATCTTTATCGCAATACCTAAAAAACATAATGCAAGAAAATGCTCAAAATATCGATTAATTAGCCTAATGAGCCACACTCTTAAAATTTTCCTCAGAATACTTCACAACAGAATTAGACGCAAATGCGAAGAACAGCTTGAAGATACCCAATTTGGTTTTAGAAATGCTATGGGAACCAGAGAGGCACTTTTTGCGCTAAACATCCTATTACAAAAATGACGTGACCAAAGACAAGATGTATTTGCACGTTTCGTGGACTTCGCAAAGGCATTCGATAAAGTACAGCATGTAAAATTAATGCAAATACTGAAAAATATCGGAATAGATGACAAGCATATTCGTGTCATTAAAAATTTGTACTGCAATCAAACTGCTATTGTATAAATTTGAGACAACTACACCGATAAAATCCCCATACAACAAGGAGTCAGACAAGGTTGCATTTTGTCGTCAACATTGATCAATGTTTACTCGGTTCAACTATTTAAAAAGGCAATTAAGAGACAACCATATGGAATAAAAATCAACGGGGAACTACTTATGTGCTTAGATTAATGTGATTAGACATAACTAATGTGATTAAATATGCAGACGATACAGCAATTCTATCAGATAATATTGAAGGTCTTTAAATTCTGCTTGATCGTATTTACGAGGTAGGAGAGGAAATGGGCATTGAAATAAACTCAAACAAAACCAAATTTTTAGTGGTTAATCGTGACCTACATTCCAAAGCAAAGCTTCAATTGAACGGAGTCTAAGTTGAGAAAGTTCACAGAATGACATATTAGGGAAGTGTGATAACGGACCAACTATATCCAGTCATAGAAATAAAACATAGAATAGCAATGACTAAAACTACTTTTATGAAAATTGAAGTCATTTCTTTGCAATAACCATCTCAGTTTAGAACTAAGGCAAAGAATGGTTAAGTGTTATGTTTGGTCTATACTTTTGTATAGTGCAGAAGTGTAGACGCTAAAAGTATCGATCATGAACAAAATTGAAGCATTGGAAATGTGGGTTCATAGACGAATGCTGAAGATACCTTGGACAGCAAGAAAAACTCATGAGGAAGTACTAAGGAGCGTCAACAAAGACAGAGAACTGCTAAAGACTGTTAAACATCGAAAAATGTCTTATCTGGGACATATAGTAAAGGGAAGTCGATATAAAATTTTACAACTGATCCTTAAAGGCAAAATAGAGGGCCGTAGAGGTTTAGGAAGAAAACAAGTTTCTTCGTTAAAAACATTCGTGAATGGACTCAGATACCAAATGCAGGACAATTATTCCATGTTGCAGAAGATCGAGAAGCCTTCGCAATGGTGATCGCCAACGTCGGATAGTTCTGATATGGCACGCGAAGAAGAAGAGTCTTCACTGGCGCTTTAGTATAAATTTTATTTTTCGCATTATGCACAGAAATATTGTTTTTTTTTTGCCATAAATATTTTAGGTCTTCGCAGGCACACAAATAAAAATAATTAGTTTCACCGACACTTAGTTACTATATTCGCAAAAAAAAATATTAAGAGTTATATTCTTCGGAGGCAACAGCGTTATTTTGAATATATTAGTTTTAGAAATGAGTTTAATACAGACTAATTAATCACTTTCACATGAGCATAGGACTGTATCAGAGCTTAGTTGTAAATCCGTAAATAAAAGCTCAGAGAATGATGATAAACAAGTCGAAAAAACGAAGAACTTTTTTTGTTTTTGTTTTATTACTTGTAGAATAAATTTTTTGGCTCTTTTATTTAAATGGTTGTAAATAACACTAATCTAAAGTTTATTAGTAAAAAAATCATTGTTTTAGGTGCTGGATATGCCATGATCGTTGTTAACCTAGTTGTTTGTACATATTTTAATACAATTTGTGCCTATCCATTAATATTTTTGATTCATTCATTTAAATCAAAATTACCCTGGCAGTTCTGTTCAAATTCTTGGAATACAATATTCTGCAATGGGGTACGTAAAATAAAACCAATATAAATATAATTAGTGTACTGATAAATTGTTTTAAAATAAGAGTTCATTTTTAAAAAATTAAAAAATGAGTTACTCACAGTTGGTTTTATAACTGGAGTTTCACAAAAATCAGCTTTTGTTCCGGTCCCCGACAAAAGGTTACTTAACTTTTAAATCCTATATTTAAACTTACACTTTTACTACCCTGGGGTATACTAGTACCCCCTTAAAAAAGTCAAACAATAATGGAATGAATTTATTTAAAACAACTTTTTAACTAACGAATATAACTAACGAATTTGATTGACTCTGTAAATATTAATATATCTCAGAATATTCTGGACAAATTTAATTTGATATTCTGCACACATGAATTTTTGTACATACTGTACCTCGTTCGGCTCTTACAGTCTTGGATCGAACACAGAAATTACATATGTCTGAAGTTGCATAAGTTTCTTCTTGAATTTCGTTAAGTCTACTTTTCTTTAGCTGTGCGAAGATATACTGGTAAAGTTGACCAAGCCAATATTTTTCTCATATAGGACTGCATGGGGCAATTAAACACTGTTATCTTTATACGCTTCCTTATGAATGACGGATAGCAGTATAACAGTTTTTTATAGTTTTAGGTTTTGTAGGACAATAAGAAACAAGCACTAGATCTTTTATAGTTTTAATTTATAAAGCCTTGTGGCATTTCAGCTTTATTCACTTTTATAGTACCTAAAATTGTTACCCAATGTTCTGCAAACATTTTTTGGGCCATGGAAAGAGAAGTGAAGCAATTATCTTATGTACAGTTTCTGTTTGTGCCGTGGATGGGCTTGGTCATTTCAACTGAATAATATTCTGCAAAGGGTATGCCATCTGGATTTGAATATATTCATATATAGACCTTGGCATTTATTGTATGAAATATTTTTGCATGACACATTAATAAAATTTAAATTCCATTTTTATTAGACATTTTAAGTAACTGATCATTTACAGTGCAATATTCGAATGTGACGTATCAAATTTTAATCAAACTGAGCTTTAATAGTGGCTTAGCGATCTTATTTCCTTCTTTCTTACCTGCTATTGCGATCTGCAAATCTTAAGCAGTTAGTCAGATACACAATTCTGACTTAAGGCATGGTACAGATAAAATAGCTTACACCTGAATACCCATTAAATAATTATTTTACTGTGACACAAATCATGTTCAGAAGTCCTGAAAATATGTAAAGTCCAAACAGTGCATTTAATTCGATAATGGTAGTATGTTTGGTAAAAGTGGACTTTTATATTGAGGACGCGGTCTATCTATTTCTTTATTTGTGTAATCCTGTATCTGTTTGATGATGTCATTGGTAAAAATGAACAGACAGCTTCATACCCTGACTTGACATAGTGGGCTTCATTTTTATTCCATGATAGATGAACAACATATTTTTTGCAAAGCGTTGAGTACGATTGGTGGGTCTCACTCTACTCCATTTAAGTTTGTTTTACCATAAAGTTTTGTAGGTACACTCACAACATTTACCATGTCACTAGAATTTATTACTCAAATTTAATTTTGACCATAATTTTCCGCTTTGTCGATGCTTTTCTTTTCTTTACTATTTGGGTTCTGAATATCTTTGTTTTCATCTATATCAAAAGGTTCTATTACTGCATCTTTTTACTTCCTGAATTATTTTCTGATCCTTGGACACTTTCTTTGACTAATTTCTTTATTATTTCTTCTAACTCATGTTGTTTAAAATAACCAATAACCACTGGGAATGAAACGAAGGTCTGCGAAGAATGACGAATATTACTGATGTTGTGGAATGCATAGCGGAACTAAAATGAAACTGGGCAAGCAATGTAGCGAGAATTCACAACTCACGATGGACCAGCAAAATTACAAATTGGAAGCCAAGAGCAGACAAACGTAGTAGAGAAGACCCACCAACACGTTGAGCACAAAAGAGAACAAAAAGAACGCAAAATCGTATAGAATGGAGGAGTTTAAAAGAGGGTTTAGAAGAGAGCAGTGGACGTAATAAATAAAGGCTGGATAATGATGACGATAATGAAGTATGTTAAACATTAATATTTTATCAACATATAAATAATATATATATATATATATATATATATATACATATATATATATATATATATATATATATATATATATATATAAATATATATATATATATATATATATATATATATATATATATATATATATATATATATATATTTTTAGGCGTTACGCCCGTCCGGTAGGGATCTATGCTAAGATGCGTCTAAGCCGCAGATTCATCTAGAATTTTAAACTTCTGCGTTAGACTTTTTGTTTTCTGTACACCGAGCTGGGGCTCGATCCCTCATCCACTGAACCATTCGACAGTGAAGCGAATGAGAGGCAGCCCCGCTGAGCTATTTGACCGACAAAAGTTTGCAGGTCCCACCGAGATATGAACTCGGATCGTTGGATTCAGAGTCCAGAGTGCTAACCATTACACCATGGGACTTTAAGGTCCCATGGTGTAAATAATATAACTTACTGTAAACACTTAGTGATTTTTAACTTTTTAACTTTTAACATCGTTTATCAACGTCTGTTTGCCTTGCAATTTTTAGAAGGCTCAGATTATAAAGCAGAAATCTGAATTGTGTTTCGAAACTATTTTACGATTGACTTAGTGATTTAATCTTAGGAGAAAGATTAAATCACCTAAGATTTGCAGATGATGTTGTATTAATCGCAGATAATATACAAGATACAGTTTCTATGATGCATTCGCTTAAAAGTCTTTCTGAAAGAGTAGGATTAAAGATAAACTTTGAGAAAACTAAACTTATAACAAATCTCGTAATGAGTGGAAATATAACTATTGACAATAATACCATACAATAAACAGACACTTAAAAATATCTGGGACACGAAATCAAAATAAGAAGAGACAATCAAATACATGGAATACAGAGGCGAATAGGCCTAACTTGGGCAGCATTTGGCAAATTAAGCCATATTCTAAAAAGTTCAATTCCCATGTGTCTCAAGCGAAAGGTTTATAACCAATGTATTTTACCTGTACAAACTTATGGAGGAGAGACTTTAACACTCACGCAAAAATCTGCGAATAAACTCAGAGTTACACAACGAGCCATGGAACGTGCTATGCTGAACGTGAGCATTCGAGACCACAAAACAAACCAACAAATTAGGCAAAGATCATCGAAAGAACCACGTCGCTTAAGTGGAACTGGGCAGGGCACTTACCCAGAGCACAAAATGGACGGTGAACAAGACGTATTATGGAATGGAGGCCCAGAAACTATAAAACAAGCCGAGGAAGGCCACCGACTAGATGGACCGATGATATAAAACGTGTAGCGGGAAACTGGCTACAAGCGGCCCAGTGTAGAGAACACTGGAAAGAACTGAGGGAGGCCTATGTCCAGCAGTGGACGCGATTGGCTGATTAATGATGACTGTAAACACTTATTCAAACGTCTAAATAATAATCAAGTCTATGTAACGTAGCGTATAGGTTACAACTGAACGAAACATACACTAATGCCGAGCCTAATATGATTAAGGAAGGTAGATAGAGGGCCGGCGTTGAGTCTTTAAAATATCAAGAATCATAATAAAATTATTATTGCTTGGGGTACAACAGTACCTCGGGTAGGGTTTAAAGGTTAATCAAGAACGGTACAAGGTAATACGTTTAAAGAATTTAATCAATTAATATGCTTACTTAAATAGATTGCCTTGTACCGTTATTATTTAAGTAACCTTTTATCGTGTACCTGAAGATGGTCTGAAATTGTAGAGGCCGAAACCTGTCGTCCAGGTTATAATAAAACCAATTGTGTCTTTTTTGAATTTTTTATTTTATTTAGATTTTCTATATTCTTAATTGGATATAAATATGCAATAAATCAGATAGTTTAATTTTTTTACAAGTAGTTTATAGATGAACCAGGTTTAAATACGTCACATTCCATATCATCGATTAAAGCCACAGACTTAAAAACTCCCGCTGACGAATTTTTTCAGTAAGTATGAGTCACACAATATATTTTATGTAATTTGTGTTCGTCAACATATTTATTATATATTTGTCTTAATATACTTAGTACAAATTTTTTAAACCACCAGATTTTTTTATGGAGGTATTTTATTTTTGTTAGGTTAGGTTAAGGTATATTTAGGTTTCTTAATATTGTTCTGAAACTATATTCTTGTGGCATTTTAAAGTAAATACTATTTAAATGGGAATAAGCCACAATTACAGGTTAAAGTAAGTTTATTGACGTTTCAATTTCCACTTCGGAAATCGTTCTCAAAATAATATTTCCACTTCCAAAATATGGTGCCATTTCCTCGTCTATGAAAGGTTATGTTTGAATTATATCAAATTGTGAAAATTTAATATTCATTATATGAAAGATAGTAGTAAGTTTAGTAAATTTATTATCTTTGACTAATTGAGTATCAGACAAATAAATATTTTCTTTGATTAATCGAAATTTATTTCTAGACTTGGTCTCCCTTGCAATGGCTACTTCCTTGTTTGAATGACGATCGTTTTATGCTGCATAAGTATTTGAAAAATGTATAATCTAGCTTGTGACTTCATCATCGAAAAATAATAAAAATATTTCGAAGGGCGACTTTCCTCCATGGCTGGCTTTGATGTTCTCTAATAAACGATTGTTATTACTTTTAGGATGAGTCGAGAATGCTGGAGTTTTGTGTGTTTCTCATTTTGGTAAAATTTTCAATTTACTTTGATTAGGTTTTTTCATTTTGTTGCGAATTTTACTAAGTTGGATATCATATTCTTCAGAATCACTTGCTGTCGGAACGTAAATTGGATATGTTCCAGCAATTTCTGCATCAATATTATCTTCTTGAATGAGGCTCTCATCTAGGCCTTTGTCATTAGTAATTTCATCAACAATAGGGGGGATATATGTAATTTCTACTTTATCTGCAGTCTATTTGAATCTTCTTCGTCATACAATTAATTCTTTATTACTCAAAGGTCGTGTTCGATCATACATCTCCTGTGCAGTTAAAGGTCCGAATGGCCGCTTCTGGCTCTGGCCCAACGACATTCCAGAAGTATTTGGTTGACTGTGATAAAGAAACCGAATTTCAGGCTAGACAGATAATTTTGAAACAAAAAAAAAGTTGACTCATCTTTAGATCACTTTGAATTTTCCCTTATGTGCAACAAACAAATATTTTTAGTTCTTGTTTATGTAATATAAACCACCTCAGTTACAAAAAGCTATTACACGTGCTTACAATAATTGCAGTACAGATATACCTGTCACACTGACCGACAGTTGATATAGCGATGGCTATTAATCTTCACCGATGCCGTATTTTAGGAGTATGTAAAAAAATGAAAATGAAAAGGGTACGTAGCCGCACCTTTAACTGTTAGTGGGTTAAGTATTATTAATTAAGCTATCAAAGTCATCTCCAAACAAGTTCTAGGCCAGAAGTACTGAGTAAGGATGCCACTTCTACTTTTTGCCACATTATGAAGTTTGACCTGCCTCGTACTGGTATGGGGATTTTCTTGAACCGTCAGTACAACCTCCAGTTTCTTGGCTTATGGTATTATTTAGCGATCTTTAACATGGCCCGATTCTCGAAATCTGTTTTTAATTTTTGGTAATTGTTATTGTCATCGGAAATGTCGAACAGTAAAACATTGACGTCTATTTGTCGGATTCATAGATAATTGACAATAACCACCAGTCAACGACAATATTGATTTAAATATTTTTGTGCAAATACCTATGAATACTTGAGTAATATTACAATATGTAATTAGGTTCAGACTAGAATGTAGCATTGTTATTAATCAACGTATTTCTTTTCTCAAAACCAGCAAATAACGGAACTTTGATTTCTCAGTGGAGGTCCTTAGTGTAATTTAGTTTAGTGCATGCGTATTTATTGTAACTCAATTTACTCAACTACGTACATAATTTTCGGTAACCCTGTAGAAAAAACTATTTGTATTTTTTTAAGCCCTTTTTACTATTTGGATTGCCGAATATAGGCCTTTCCTTATTCTCGCCATTCATCTCTGTTGTTTGTAAGACGTTTCCACATTGGCCCTGCAGTTCTTTTAATATCGTCGCTCCATCGCATTTGCGGTCTTCCTCGTAGTCTTTTGGCTTCATATGGCCGCCAATTCTCGATTTATTTATTCCATCGGCCATCCTTAAGACGTTCGTTATGTCCAGCCCATTTCAATTTTAGTTTAGCTGCCAGTTCGACAGCATCTTTTACTTTTGTTCTATTACGAATGTCTTCATTGGTTTTATGGTCTTTGACTAAGATACCCAGCATCTGTAGCACTCTAAGTTTTTCTGATCTTCTCCATGTTTATTTCAGTGAATTTCCAGGTTTGAGCTCCATATGTAAGCACAGGTAGGAAACAGAAATTCAACATTTTGGTTCGCAGTCTTTGAGGTATATGTTTATTTTTAAGTACATATGAGAGTCTTCCGAACGCTGCCCATCCCATTTTTACACGTCTGCTTAATTCGGTAATCTGATTTTCTTTGCCCACCTTGACATTTTGACCCAGATATGTATATTCATCTACGTGTTCTATCCATGTCCCTTTGATGTTTATCATAGGTTTGTCATCTTTGTTTGACATTATTTTAGTTTTGCTGAAATTTATTTTCAGTCCTTTTTTAGGGATTCTGTGTGTAGACTCTCAATCATTGTATTCAGTGCATTCCACGTATCGGCTTTAGTACTACATCATCTGCGTATCTAAAATGGTTCAAGTATCTTTCGTTAATAGGGACTCTCTTATTTTCCCAGTCTATTAACTTAAAAATATCTTCTAGCGCAGCTTAAATAATTTTGGAGATATTGTGGCTCTTTGTTTTGCTCCTAGGTTGATTTTTACTGGTCTTATTTTGATTCCATTAGCTAATGTCACTATCATTTCAGCTTATTCGTAAATATTATGTATTAGTATTCTGTACCTGGAGTCAATCCGGTTGTTGACTAATGCTTCTTCTATTGCCCACAGTTCTACTCTATCACAAGCTTTTTCATAATCTATAAAAGCCAGACATGGGAGATTGTATTCGTTAGTCTTTTCTATAAGGATTTTAAAAGTGTATAAATATTCACAGGTGCTATACCCTTTTCTAAATCCGGCTTGTTCTACTGGTTGATATCCGTCAAATTAAATTGTTAACCTGTTTGTATAATTCTTTGTTACCAATCAAAGGTTTTGTAAAGTTGTGAAAGAAGTGAAATTGGTCGATAATTTTTCAGGTCTGTGGTGATTTTCTTTTTGTGTATTAGTATTGTTTTAGCAGTATTCCATTGTTCGTGTATGTTGCCTTGGAATAGACATTTATTAAATAATATTTTTAAATGTGATGGCTTCTTCTCCGCCTTCCTTCAGCATTTCTGCTAGAATTACATCGCTTTCAGGAGCTTTATTCCTTTTTATTTCTTTTACTGCTCTTTCTATTTCTTCGTGGCTTATTTTGGGCATCATTTCTGAGTTGACATTTGATATCTGTCTTTTTAAGTTCTGCTTTGAAGAGTTAGGGGGATCATTTCTGGAACGGTACAGATCGGCGTAGAACTTTTCAACTGAGTTTGCAATATCAAATTTACTTTTTCCTAGTTGTCCTTGTTAATTTTTAATCGTTATTATGTTTTTCTTTCCTAGTTTCGGTTTGGTACATTTGAGACTTCGGTTTTTCTCTATGATTTGTTCTATACGATTTTCTTGATGTTTTTTTTAATGTCCTGTTTTATCTATTTTAATATTACTCGATTAAGTTTCTTAAATTCTGCAGTGTCTCTTTTGTTTTGTCTCAAAAGATCTTTTCTTTGTTTCAGCATGTTTTGTGATTCTACACTTATTTTGGAGTTTCGTTTTCTGTTAGCGGTTGCCACTTTTGAGCCTGCATTTAATAGCTCTTTTCTTAATAGTTCAATTAATAGTATTAAATCTAGATAAATTTAGCTTAAATGAAATCAATAAATTCATAACAAAAAAAACTATTAATTTGAATAATACATCGTTGCAAATGCGATTAGGATATATTTGTATTTAAAAAGATTGTAGATTACTTCACTAAGCTAACACCGATGACATAATGTTTCACACATATAGTAAGCAATTAATATCTATTCAAAAATTCAAATTGGCGTGTTTTAAGATTTTTTTAAGACGTCTGCTTCTGAAATAATGAACTTAATCCATACTTTTGCATCATAATATAATGTGGCTGTCTGATTAATAATTAGTTAATCTCCATTCTTAAAAAAAATTAGGATAAGTTAAAAGATTAGGTAATAGATTATGGTATGACTAGTTCTAAACTGAAATAAAAATATTTATGTGTATCTTACACTAAAAATTAATAGTTTATATAAACTTCTAATGAATTAATATCTTTCTTAATTTTAGTCACAAAATACTACAAATATCTCCGGAAGTCACAGATGTCGGCGGTATAGTTTGGCCGCTTTTTATAGCAAATATAGTTTCTTGGATGATCACGTACGTTTGTATAATTAAGGGTATCAAGTCTGTTGGAAAAGTTGTCTATTTTACTGCTACTTTTCCGTTTTTTATATTAACGATACTCTTTATTCGGGGAGTTACACTGCCTGGGGCTTGGAAAGGCATCAAATACTATATTGTGCCAGATTGGGATGAGCTTACAAATGTTAAGGTAAGCTTTTTAGCTAATCAATTAAGAAAAGTAAATAGATAAGCTAAATTCTTAATAAAAAACTAAAAGGTATAATGTTTGTATGATATTAAAATAAGATCCAGTAGAAAAAAAACAAAATCGTCAAAAAAGGACACGAAATAGATTAGAGAGACATTTGCTTAAATATTTATCTTAGTATTTAGTCAACATTATTGTGTTTCATGTATATAAAGAAAAACTTGTATTAAGATACAAATACAGTGTCAGTGTGAGACAGTGAGCATGAGTTCGCTTTTACTCAATAAAGCGTAGACTTAAAATTACTAAGAAGAAACATATTTCCCAAATCGGTCTTGATTCCTCCAATAAAGATATACATGTATTCTGAGATAGTATTCACAAACGCACTCAAAGACGCAGAAGCGCACTCAAAGATGGCATAAAATTAAATGGAATATTCATAAATAATTAAGATATTTCGATGACACAGATATAACTGCAAACAGTTTGGGTAGTTTACAGAATTTACTTCTATGTTTACTACAACAAAATATCAGCTGAAGGAGGTAAATAAGGCTTCAAAATTATTACCAAAAAAACAAAATATATTGGTGGTAAGTCGAAATCCTAATCAGCCAGCCTACTTAGTCGTATACGGAACAAAAAAACTTGATTTATATTTAGTTTCAAGCTATCTCCCTCTTTGGTTATGAAATTCAAAAGTCGTTGTAAACCCTCAGCACTATCCGCAATCATAACGGTCTCGTCTGCGTATCTTAAGTTGTGTATCCTTCTTAAATATTTTCGAGGGCATTTTGAAAGATCTTTTCAAAAAAGATATTAAATAACAGTGGAGAAAGTACACATCCTTACGACTCCTCTTTTTATTGACAATTCTGCTGTCAGACGATTGTCTATTTTGATCGACGCTCTTTGATCCCAATATAGTTTTTTAATAAGTGCTGCAGTGTAATAGTCTATACCATGTTGTGTTAGGGTTTCTATGAGTTCTGTGTGTTTTACTCTATCAAACGCTTTTTCGTAGTCGATAAAACAGAGAAACACGCCTTTTTGCTGATCTCGGCATTTTTGTAATAATATTTGGAGGCCAAATAATGCCTCCCTTGTACCAAGCCCTATCCGAAATCCAAATTTATTGTCGCTCAGGTTTCTTTCGCATTTTCTGTATATTCGTTGATGTACAATTTTGAGTAAAATTTTTAGAAAATGGCTCAGCAGGCTAATTAATCTGAACTGCGAGCATCTATTTGCTTTATTTTTTTTTTGGTATATATAAATGTCGATCTAAGCCAGTCTTCTGGGAAGATTCCAGTACTATATATTACAAAATTATAATATTATATAAGATACTAAATTACACAAAGGATAGGAGCATGTTTTCTTATGGAGTCAATCGCAATAAATGCCTTCTTACTTCGTACATACCAAAATCTACCAAAAATTTGTTAATGCTGTCTATATTTCACAAAAATGATAATATTTGATTCAGACAGTAATGATGCCAATGCAATCGTCAGTAAAAACAGTCTATAACCTAACAAAAAGAACAACAGTTAATGTGGTGAACAGGATGAAGGAAGAATATTCTATTACAAGTGTAAGCAACCGTTGGCTCTTGACAGTTTTTTTGCGTTTTACATAATATTGCTGGCATAATTTCACAAATCATTTACTTCAGGAATAAAACACCATGCTTAATTCAAGAGCACATTTAATAGATCTTGCCAAGCAACTTACGAATCCCCATATTATTCGTCGTTTAAGCATTACCTGTATATGTTATCTTTCAGATTTTATTAACTAAGACTAAAGCACTTTGGTCTGATGATAAAGCATATTATATTGTAAGCCTTGAAACCGGTAACCCAAAATTTACCATCAATAAAAGATAGAAAATACTGACGATTGTCAGTATTGACTCATTTCCTATTTACTAATGTTATGGACTTACCACATTGGCACCATTTTCATAATTTCAATAATATTTATGGAACATTATCAAATGCACAAATTTCACATGATTGGTCGAACCAATTGAAGTATTTTAACATTGGTTTAGAAATTGTTAATTTTTTTGTACTGCTATATGATCTTTATTTTGATTTAAAACACGATCTATTATTATACCAATATTGTAGGTGTGGGCAGATGCTGCAATACAAATATTTTTCTCTTTGGGACCAGGATGGGGAGGAATAGTGAACATTGCAAGTTACAATGACTTCAGAAACAATGGAAGATTGTGAGTAGGTAAAAAATTAATTTTAATAACTTTTAATTAAGTATTTAAAAAATATTTTGGTGTATATATATATATATATATATATATATATATATAAATATATATATATATATATATATATATATATATATTTATATATATATATATATATATATATATATATTATATATATATATATATTATATATATATATATATATATATATGTATATATATATATATATATATATATATATATATATATATATATATATATCCATTTAGTTCAACAAAGCGATAGCAGCTTTTGGTAGAATATTTAACCTTTTACACATTTCGCATAGACCAAAGGACAGGAAACGATATTATTATATCGTTTTCGTTCATGGTCGCCAAAGCAGCTGGCGCCTCTATACACTAACTACTGCGGTGGTGAAGTTTTAGGAGACATTCGTTGGACTTTCCGAGTTTGAATTTCTATCAGCCCAAGTGTCTGATGAGACTGGGATAGACCGAAATGACTAAATACATATAAACTTATAAAATACTAATACCTGGAAAATACTAAGTAACTAAACTACATGAACTGCTTATACGTGCTGTTGAAATATAAATGTAACACACAGAAACATTAAAATATTCAAATTAACTGACTACATTATACGTCTTACTCATCCTAATAGTCAAAACGAACTAACCTATACTGCTTTTTAAACGTGTATGTTTCAAAGGTTCCTGAGGGGTTAAAGAATATAGAGATCCTTCTTCGTACTATATCTAATTTATAAAAAAAATACGGAACAAGATATACGCTGGAGGCATTTTAAACCTAACTTAAGATTATAAAGGCAATTCTGTATAATTCTACAACTTTAGTTTACTCAGAATATTTTCATCAACCATATATAAATCAGTGTACTTTTAATTTAAAACATAATTTTAAGCTACAGCCAACTTTTACATAAAAATTAGTATATGCGTAACCGGGTACTCCGATTGGTCAATAGTCTAAATTAATTTGGTTGGCAACACAAGGGATTCCGAAATCCAAATACCAACTTTCGAGAAACATTTGACTAAATTTAAAATATTTACGAAACAAAAATATAATATATTTAGTATTACAAGTAAATATACTTTAGATATTCTAGAAGTTATATAACTCTATAAGTATTAAATAATGACATGAGAGTAGAGCCTTAGGCTGAACGTAATGAATTCAACCTTAAATGGTAATAGCAACTGTATTTTTTTGTATTGAATTGTATTGAATCTATAATTACTATTTACCGTGATACAAATGTTAAACAATATTTTTCAGAGATACCATTATTGTACCTCTGGCAAATTCCGGAACAAGTATATTCGCTGGGTTTGTTGTTTTTTCTGTTCTTGGATTCCTTTCGCATGAAACTGGCTTGCCATTACCACTTGTTGCCAGTGGTGGGCCTGGCTTGGTATTTGTGACATACCCAGAAGCAATAAGTCTACTACCGCTGCCTCAGCTATGGTCAGTTTTGTTCTTTTTTATGTTGTTTTTGCTTGGATTGGATAGTTTGGTAAGTTCTGATTATTTATAAGTTCTTTTATTTCAAAATAAAAAAGTATCCCGCTTGCTTTATTATTCATTGCTTAATTTTTTTATTCGTCAATAACGAATATTATTTTTATTGTGAACAAGCCACAATTTAAGTCTAAAATAAGTTAATTAACGTTTCAATTTTCACTCCGGAAATCATTACCAAAATACAAAACATTAATTAATTAAAACAAATTTGTTTTTGGTTACTTGGTAAAAAATTGTTCTAAATTATTAGAAGAATCTAATGAAATCTAGGGAAATGGAAATGTAGAGTTAAGAAACTTATTTAACCTTAAATCGTGGCTTATTCCCAATAAAAATAGTAATTGCTTTAAGATGACACTATAATATAGATAGAATATAATAGAAAATATCTTCAGATGAGCAAATAACGATATTACCAGTAAAGTTTAATGATTTGATTATAATCTATGTAATAACTAGAATATAGAGTAGGTAGATCGTAGAGAAACAGGAATGAAACCAATCTTCAGAATCTTATGTTAATTTGCCAAAAACAAAAGCGGCAAAACTTTTATAACCAATAAAGGAGTAAGGCGGAGTCCAATGTTAGTGATTAAATATTAACCGCTTATACAGAAAAAAACACATAAACTTTACAATCATAAAAAAATGTGACTACCTAATAATCAACGTAAATAATGAGAGTAACGAAATGAGAGCAATCAGCAACAGAATAGGTGAAGCAGGGATGCTAGTTTGCTATATGTTGGTCTTAATTTTCTCCCAACTTCCATACTAGAAAGAAATCATGTCCTAACTTAATACCGACCCTAATTTTCTATGGCATCCCGCCAGGCAAACGTGGTGTCCTCAGTATGAACAAACATTCAAGTAAACTTTATCGACAGATAATAAAATACCGGAACTAGAGAAATAACTCAAATATCGTCGTTGTAAAGGTAAACCTCACTATGTGACATTTTGTAGTTTTGAGATATCGACGATTTAAATTTATTTGGAGTTATTTTATTTTATAACAAACAGAAACATTTTAAGAATCTGAAATAATTCATAGTAACTTAAACTATTGCTTTGAATGGTGCATTTATGCAAATAAAAGATTATACATATTACCTTCTGATCAGAGAAAAATTTTTTTCTCACTTAATGAGTTTTACCCCTAATGTATCTAGAGTTTTTATCAATAAATGAGAAATGTAATAAGAGAAAAAAGTACTAAAATTTTATTATTAAGAGAAATATAACACCAAAAAAACATAAAAAATTAACATAAAATATTGTAATCATATTTAAAGTTTAGTCACTCTAACTTTCTTCAGATCCTTGTTCATGCAGAGTCGACTCTGGAGCTCTTTCTTCCCGAAGAGCAGTTACAGAAGGGATATTTCGATACCACCCTTGTAATTCTTCAGGGATTATACCTGTGTCACATAGTTTCAAAAGATCTAGTTTCTTTAATTTACTAATAAGGAGTCTACATTGTATAAGCTTGTTTCATAATATTAGATGTACTATTATGTCTTCTTTTACGTTTTACATAAATTGTTTTAAAATCTGCTTGATCACTATATTTATAGAATATGAGATTTGGGTTTTTCTTCTCGTACTTAAAACATTTTATTTTAAGTAAGTTGACTGTGTTACCATCTTCGTCTACATTTCTGTTCTTTATTATCTTCTTTCACAGATCATGAAGATCAAAAATATCGTTATATTTTAATTTCATTACTTCATAAGAATCCTTTTTGGTAGTTTGAGATCTTGCACTTTTGAATACTTCTTTCCAATCATTCATGACAAATAAAGATCTGTTCTTTTTAGCACTTTCAATGACAGATTGCATTGAATCGCATTCCATAAACGAATGACCGGATTCAAGAAATTTGTGCTCGATAACCTCAAGAGTTTTATGATTTTTAACACAACGTAAAACGGCTGCTGCTTCGTGCTTATTGCGGTTTTGGCAACTACAGGTATCGGAAAACATAGTCACGTGCGTTATAGAGCTGTCAGTACCCTCTAAATATTTAAGAAGAATGGTTTCTATTTCATTTGCGCCTCTCTGTCCGTTTATTTCATTCCAGCAGAAACAAAATCCTTTGTTTCCTTTACCTCCTTCGTATATTGAGAGATTGTATACGCATAATTTACGGCTATAATACAGTTGCCCCATATTTGAAGTAGGTAGCTGAAGGACACTCTGTAAATTATAAGTAATGGTCTGAAAAGATTTATTTTCTTTAGTTTTCAGCATCTTTATGTCTGTTATTTTCTTCTTTTCTTTAATATGATCATCATAATTGTCTTTCAATAATTGATCATCTTTGTTGAATTTGTATTTCTCACAAATCTAGTACTGGTCCTTTTTAGGGTTAAAAAAGGATGGGTTATATTGAGTACTAAATTTTTTTCTGTAAATTGGACAACGAACAGGTGTGATATGTCTTTCTTTACAGAACTTCAAGTATAGGCTATACATTTTGAGGATGCCTAAAGTTGAATCTAAAAGCATTCGAGGAAAACTCTCAATATGTTTTTTAACAAGTTTAATATTTTCTTGACTTGTTGCGTTGCCGAGAGTTTTGTGCCTCCTCTGGTCATTTCCACTAAAAAATGTTCCAGTTTGAGCAATATGTGTTAAAGCAGTATTGATTGACCCGTTTGATATGCACAACGTCCTTTTAAAAAATTTTGCACAAACTCGAAAACTGTTGCCTGATTTTTGGATATAATATTGTTTCGATAATAACCGCCTTTTACTTGAGTTTTCCAGACATCATTTTGGTATTTCTGATTTAACACATTGAATAATATAATCCTTTTGTCTTTTGAAATGTGCTAGTTCCCAATGATGGTGAGTACATTTAAAACGACAATTAGTACAAACTATTGGTATCGGAGCTTTTGCAGGTTTCATGCCAGTTTTTGTCACATAACGTTTACACTTAGATCGTAGTTTTTTAGCCTTGGCTTTTGTTCCACTTATCAACATGTACCTTTTTTCATCGGCGATGGTTACTTTTAGATGATTCAAATTGTGCATCTTCTTCAGAACTGGATGCTTCTTGGGACATTTCGTATTCTGGATCTGCATCTGAGTCTTAACATTCATCTCAAGAAACATTATAATCAACAAGGTGTGGATTATTCCTCTTGTATTTCACACAATTATAGAAATTTTAAACCTACTAAATTTGCAAGATTCGCATACTTCTTGATGTCATGATGACCACTTAACACTTTCAATGTCGTAACTAAACTAACCTAATAACGACACAAATTTAATATACATATTTATAATACAATGTTGTTTATCTTTGGTGTATCATTATTAATATCAGTAAATGCAGTGTAAGTAATTCGAAACAAAATAACTGATTCATTATAGCACTTGGTGAGTTTTACTAGTTTATGGGTTGAACCTGTTACGGAGAAAACTTCTTCATTATATCATTTAGTGAATTTTACCAATACTTAGATGGAACCTAAAGTGTGTTTAATGATATTTACTTCTGGCTAACTTTCGATTGGTTAACATTATCATTTTAATGAATTTTTCTCTAATAGATCTTTACATAATGAAAGATATAACCCAAAAACGTTAAAATTGCAATTAATGAGTTTTACCTTTACAACGACGATATGCCCAATGGGATATGACAGAAACTAGTGACGTCAAAAGAAGAGGTAAAGGTTTAGCCAGTTTAAAATCAAACAACATGTTCCACTATAAACGGGAAATAGAACTAAAAACTGGAGAAATTAGTCTATCAATATGCAGAAAACTACAGAAAAACATAGAGTAATGACAAGTAAGAGTTATAAGCAGACATCTAAGACTTAGCAAAAGATACAACTTACAAATAATACAAGTATACGCTTCCACAACAACCCTAAAGATATTAAGAAGATAAACTAATCCCATTTTAATATGTTAATGAAACATTTAAATGGCCCACTCTAAACCAAATAAGACGAAAAAAAAAAACTGAAAATCAGAAATTTTGGAATCATAGTATAAAAAACGAAAGTGGGGAAATGCTGACTAACTTTCTACTGCAACACAAACTGTAATCCATATACATCTTTTTTAAAAAGAAACAGAATAAAAAATAAACGTCTAGACGAAAAAACTAGAAGTAAATACAATAATTTAATAAAAAACAAATAACTATTGAAAAGGAAAATCAAAGTAGTTGGTTGTATACCATAGTTTTAAAACTGATAGTAAAGTAAAAAGCTATTGCAAAATGATACATATTTAAAAAACCTTTATAAAAAATAAAACTAACCACTTATTAGATATACCTTAGGATATAGCAGTTTATTTCGGTACCCAGAGTAAACTTAGTTTGTTGCTTTTTCCGATCAGAATCATATAAACTAACTTGAAGTTAAATAACGAGCCATGGAATGTGCAAAGCTGGTCGTGAGCGTTCTAGACTATATAACAAAACAAAAAATCAGGCAAAGATTAGGCGTTTTTTCGACAAGACGTCATTGAAAAAATCACGACGCCAAAGTGGTACCGGGCAAGGCACTTAACGAGAACACAAGATGGACGGTGGTTAGTTTGGATTACGTGATGGTCAATATGAGTGGTCGTTTAAACACCCTTCCACTCTACCTGAGAGGTATATTGTGACCTGTCCTTAGATTAGAGTTGTCACTATTGCCTAGTATTTTTAACAAAGTCTATTATAATCTTAAATGCTACTTCTACAAAGTTGTAGGGCTCAAGTAGATATTGCTCTTGTCGTCGCATCATTAGCCCAACAGAATTTGCAATTCACATTCTCTGTCAGTTTAGTTTTGTTCATGTATTCCTTAATGCAAGAGTGTCCTGTTAAGAGACCTACCTATTCGAAGGTTTGTTTGATACCCATTTGTTCGTACCAGTGATTACGTTGTATCCATTACACTCATTACAATATTGTTTTTTTTTTGGCTGTTGTCTTGCTATGTCAACGATAGTTTCTATGCCTATAAACGTTGTTATGCACTTTCCCTAGCAAGTATGTCCGCTTTGTCATTTTCTACAATACCAGTATTTATATATATATATATATATATATATATATTACAGGATCCAATTTGTAAATAGAATACATCTTGTAGACGGCTGTCGCCGTATTCCCGTCCTCCTCCGCCAATCCTCTCGGTCCAAGGCATGCTCCTCCTCCAAACCTCTCGATTCAATTGCTCTTCTAATACCTTTATTCCATGAGCGTCGATGTCTACCTCTTTTTCTTCTACCAGGGGGCTTCCATCTGTGAAGTTTTTGGGGCCAACGTTCGTCAGGCATTCTTAACAGGTGTCCAAACCATTTTAAACCTCTTCTTTCTATTCTGTCTATGACCGTATCTGTAGCATTCATCTGATTTCTTATAGATTCGTTGGTTTTCCTTTCCAGCCGTGATGTTCTAGCACTTCTTCTCAAATAATCCATTTCAACTGCCAACAATCTTCTTTTTAGGTCTGCATTAATTGTCCATACTTCAAAGCCATAACAAAGAACTGATTCAACCATCGTTTGCCCTATTCTTTTTTGTTCCTTTTGGAACTGTTGCGATCCCACCATAAGGAGTTCAAACGTCCTACAATTTTACGTCCCTGATTAAGTCGGTGTTTAATTTCGATTTCACCCAAGCCGTTCTTATTAATGAATGCACCTAAATATTTAAATTTTTCCACTTGTGTGATTTCCACGTCCTCGTCTATCAACACTTCAAACCTTGTCAGTACCAGTATTTACCCAAAGTAAACTTGCTTTTTCAGATTCTAATCAACCAATCAAGTCAATTTTATTTGATTTTAGTGCCCTTATTGCCACCTGGCTATGAGATATATGTTTTATAGATTTATCCGTGCAGTTTCTCTTTATTAGTTCCTATAGGCCCATCTCATAGAAGATAGTAGAGTGACTACGTAGACTTTCACTAAGGCTTAGCCTTGGTTTATCTCTTATACTCAAGCTTTAACCCATTCATTAGTTTTAATTTTGTTTTATTTTGCCTCTGTGCGCCAAGGAGCGTCATTAAGTCATCCACCAGGAGTGACCACAGGAGGAGAGAAAGAACTTAGCTGTATAGACACTCGATAGCAATTTTGGCCAAAATCTCCTCGCCTTACAGGGAAACAGCCTATTTTCAAGCATTACTTTGATCAAGTTGAATACTGTAGCGGATATCTCTTGTGATGCATGTGCCTCGTAAAGAGAATTTGGTAGCACATTCTAAATGTAGTGACTGATTTTTTAAACTACTTTATTCGGTAATTACTATTTAAATGGGAATAAGCCACAATTACCGGTTAAAGTAATTTTATTGACGTTTCAATAACCTCTTCAAAAATCGTTCTAAAAATACCAACATTAGTTAGTGTTTAAATTATATGTTAATTAAAGAATTAATACATAATAATTATACATAAATTAATGTTTGTATTTCGAGAACGATTTCCAAAGTGAAAATTGAAACGCCAATAAAATTACTTTAACCTTTAATTGTGGCTTATTCCTATTTAAATAGGAATTACTATAAAATGCTACAAGAAAATAGTTTCTAAAAAATAATTGATTTAGTGCTGTTTTTGTTGATTTTTTTTCTAAATATTTATGCTGGTTGACATTAAGAGAAGGATCCCTCAATCGCTCATCCTTAATACAGTATAGCCCAAAATAAACAGTACTGAACTTTTAATTATTTTATTGTTTCAAATAATACATATTATTGACACTTTATAACATGTTCTCAATGAGCTTCTCCTCTCTCAAGACAGACTTCATACCGATATTCCAGATTTCTCGTAATTTCATGGAATAAAAGTTGTCTCAAGTCCGCGGAAAAGACTTAAATGGTATCCTTTAATTCTTTGATGGTTTGTGGTGCCCGTTTAAAACACCAGTTATAGCTATGCCCCAAATGTATGCGTCTGGAGATGTTAAGTCTGGAGGATGTGCACGACAGGGGAAGTCAGTAACTTGTAAAATGAACTTGTTTGGAAAATGTCACTGAAGAAATTGATGAACTGCGACAGCAGTATGCCCAGTTGCCCCAGTTGGTTTTCAAATGCCAGATTACGTGCACGACAAAATTGACGTAATTCTTGAAATTCATCTGATCTGGCAAAGCCCAAAAATCGATTTCTGCGACAAATTACATGGCCTGACAAATGAAAATGTGATTCGTCTGAATACAATACCCTTTTTAAAAATTCAGGATTTTCACACTGTAATGCAAGAATTCTGGCACCATAGTCCACTCTACTGTGATAATCCCTGGAATATAATTGTTGGTGTACCTGAATCACATGCAAAAAGGCACCCAGATCCTACAGGATTCTTTGCAAGGGAGTTCGTTTTAAGCCAAGATGCAACGCTGTTCTTGTCTGACTGTTTTTCAGATTTTTCAAGATTCGCTCAAAAACACGTTCATGGTTATCATTGTTGTTAACTGTCCTGGGACACTCTAAGTTTCTTTTTCGTTGGCACAATACATTACTGTATTTCTAAACTTTTCAACATTTAAAATTACAGCAGTACTTGGAGAACGTATATTAAACCGTTGTGTGAATTGATCCTACCCGTATTGCAGACTTATACTATTACGTCATCGGCCGATTCCATATGAGCAAAAATAATACTCCACAAAAAACACTTTCTCCTCTGTACTTAACACCATTTTTAACAATTAGTCCTTAATAATTAATTGTTCAAAGATTACCTGCCAATTCTATACTAGTTAATTTGAATATGACAGCGCGTACAAAGAGACATCTATGTTTCAGTTTCAGTACTGTTTATTTTGGGCAATGTTGTATGTCTATCAAGAATTTTTTCTATTGTTTTTAGTAATAGGATAGGATTTAGGTAGAGCGATGTCTTGTCGTCCATAATTTAAACTATTTTGAGTGTATACACCTCTCTTACAATTATCCAAGTCTTTGATATATACCTAGTGCCATTCTAGTCCCAAAAATCACTGTTAGGATGAATATAAAGATGTCAAATCTTTTTTGAAGTAGAGTAGAAAATATTTCATTGTGCTCTAAACATTTTAATAGGGCAAAGTAGTTTATGGCGAACTTTACATTCTCTGGTTTGATGTTTATTGCATACAATTTTCAATCTTTTTTACCAGGTTATTTAGGTCGTTCGAGGTTTTTTAGTCCAAGTCTGCTCATCAATAATTATTGATTATGAGAAGTGGTTCTGTATTAAGAGCTTTCAAATTCAGCAAACTTGCATCAGGTATTTTAAGTAGACGTAGTCTCTATTCCGGATACTTAAATATATCTGAAATACTCTGGTAGAACCTACCGCAAGATTCCCTCTTTGCTCTTCTTTTCCATTTATTGTATTTAGTAAAAGCGTTTCTGTATGTTTCCCAGTTCACCAAATATTTGGCTTTATTTGATAGCCTTCTAACTTCGAGAAGGTGGGCAAGAAAAATCCTGGAATAGAGGTCCAGAACCTATAAAAAAATCGAGGACGGCCATCGACTAGATGAAGTGCCCTCAAGAAAAAGGTAGTGGGAAAGATCTACCTCCAGAAGTAAACACAATTGGCTAATTATTAAAACAAAGCAAGTGCAGGACGACTTATGAAAATTCTGAAATCAAAAAGACTACTTAACAAACCAGAAGAAGGCTACACAGAACCCACATCCCGCCTGTGAGCATCAATCTGAAAAATTATAATTTTGGGACAGTAAAATTGAACATAGAATGTAGGGTGCCAAAATCAAATAGTATAAATAATATATGCCCAATAAAAGTCAAAAAATATGTAATAAAACTTTGCAGTAATCCCGCAATAACAATACGAAAATGAAAGCAGAAATAATGAGTTGACTAGAATACTTAATAGATTAGCATATGAGTAGAAACTTAATTACAAAAAAAAGTATACGTTTAGAGAGCCAATGCGTTTTTAGAAAGACTAATATATTTTTAAAATTTTCACTTATTTCGGTACAGATAAAAATACTTATTTAACTTCTTAATTGACTTTTTAGTTTGTTCAGGTAGAAACTGTAATTACAGCAATAATGGATGAATTTCCGAATTTAAGAAAGAGACATTCTTTAGTAACTGTTAGTATAGTATTTCTTATGATGGCTATTTCTACAATATATACTACAAACGTAAGTATAAAGCATTATTACAGTTATTATTTCATGCTTGCATGTTTGTAACAGATGACTAGTGTTCGATAGTTTGGTCCAACACTTGCAAAAGTTTTATGATTTTTTTTTGTTTTTTGTATTGTCTCCTTTTTATTCAATATACTTAGTACCTTTTCCTCAATCTTTTCGTACGTAAGGATGTAGTGGCTGGTTAACTATTTTTGTCCAATTATCTCTCTCATGTACGTGTTTTTTGCTTCGGAAAATGAGTAACCAGTCATCTCCTTTATTTGGTCCGACCATCGTACTGGAGATCTTCCTCTGGATCTTTTACCCGCTACGTTACCTTTAACTATCATTGGCTCCATGCTTTCTCTTCTTCTAGTTATATGTCCAAAATATCTCAGTATATTTTGGTTGATAGTTGTGATGAGTCTAGTTTTTATGTAAAGTTCTGCTACAATTGAGTTATTTGTGCGATGGGTGGTCCATGGTATGCGCAATATTCTATGGTAGACCCACATTTCAAATGCCATTATACGCTTTGAATCGGTTTTTTTATTGTCCAAGTTTCTGAAGCATAGGTGGTAAAGGGAAATATCAATGCTCGAACAAGGCGTAATTTTGTGTTTTTTGTGATGTCAGTGTTTTTTCAAATTTTGGTGAGTTTGGCTGTTGCCCATATGGTCATTGTGATACATTGACGGATCTCTTCTTCTCATCCTCCACTGTTAGTAATAACGCAGCCTAAGTAATTAAATTGCCTGATCACTTCATAACCTGCCGTGTGTCTTATCTCTGCTTGGTTATTTCTGATTCTATCGATGACCACCACTTTGATTTTCTGCATGTTTATTTTCAAGCCATATTCCGTACTCACCGTACCTAGCCTATTCATAATTTGTTCCAGTTCTTCTGGTGATGACGCCAATCTACCAGTGTCATCAGCATAATGTTGGTTATTGATTTTTCTTCCACCTATCGTTGCCACCTTGCCATTTCTCAAAAACTTGACGCATATTATGTTTACTATACACATTGAATAGAATAGGGATATTATGCATCCCTGTCGAACTCCAGATTTTAATTTGTTTTTTTAATAAATAGATTAGATATTCTGGAGTGTACATTTCTCTAAGTATATGCCACAGTTTATTTTATTTTACTGTATCGAAGGCTTTGGAAAAGTCAACAAAGCATAACATATACTTACTATAACAACATATATTTTAAAAACGCCCTACTATGAAGGGCCATAATATATTTCATACTAATTATTAACGGCACATTAAGAATCAGATATTTTTTGTGCCGATAAGCCGATGTGATTATGATATACTTCCAATCTATACATTTTAAAAAATGCGCAATTTATTGTTGCGATTCTTCTACGGATTATACTGCTCTTTTTACACTATCTCTCCATCTATTCTTAATTTGTAAAACACTTTAACCTTTTACAATGACTAAGATCTTGTATACTAATTTTTTAACTACAACTACATCACTTCATCGCGTTGGTGATCGCAACTAGATTGGAAATCGGCGGATTGCTACTCCTTTTATTTGGTTTTTATGATAAGTATAAGAAGTCTATGTGAATATTCTTTCTAGTGACTTGCCCAATACACAGTAATGTTAGAAGATTATGTTCAAATTTTTTTGTAAAAATCATTAAAATATTATAAAATCTATGAAATGAAATCTGTATTTCAGGGTGGCATGTACTGGCTTCAACTTTTTGATTGGTACTCAGCTTCTATACCTGTAGTTTTAATATGTTTAGCAGAAGTTTTTATGGTTGGATGGATATATGGAGTAAAGAAATTTAGAAGAGATATTGAGTTTATGCTAAACGATAAACTTCCTTTATTTTGGATAGTTTCATGGAAAATTACAACGCCGATATTGTTACTGGTAAGAAAAGAAGTTCTTTGTTTAATTTGCTTATTAAAAACGTTGCATTGTAAATATTTAAAAACAATTAAAATATTTCTAATTTAGTAATAAAATACTTCACTTTTGAAAATAATTCGCAAACTGTGTTAATATAAAAATGACAACAATACTTGGTATTTCGTGTACATAAGAGATACTTAGTTTTAAAAAAGACTCCCCGGACACTAGGCACCTACCTATAAAATAGAACAAATTAAAACGGGGCTGAAGCAACATTTTTTAAAGACACCTTCAAAAATCATCTATGTCAAAGATTTTTCCCGCTTTTGTTATTAGAGTAATCAATTATAAGTTTGTATTGCTCTTTTTGTGTAAACTAGTCGCATCGTTTCCTGGTAGCCTTAGACCCCAGGATTACATCCCAGGAAATCTCCACATTTATTAACCGTATGGTACTTAGATGACTAATACATAGAATAAACGCTGAAGGAGAATAATTGGGCTTGAAAATTAATATTGACAAGACGAAGATAATGGTGGTTGGTAGAACATGAAATATGCAATTAAATATAAGAGTAAACAATAAGAACATCCAAAAGCTCCCCAAGTTTAAATATCTTGATAGTTAGATAACTGAAGATCTAGATCCAGACATAGATATACGTAGCAGGATTGAGTAAACCAGAACAGCCTATACTAATGTGAGAACCCTGTAAAAATGTTACATTTACTCCATACTGCTATATGATGTAGAAACCTGAACCATAAAGGCCAAAGTGATGAACCGATTGGAGACCTTTAAAATGTGGGTATTTAGAAGACTCGTTAAAATTCCCTGGACAGATCACACAAAAAATGTTGAAGTAATAAATCGAATGGGCAGAGAACGAGAATTGCTGCCAACAATAAAAAAAACTGCTTATTTGGGTCATATATTTCGAAATTCCAAGTACCAGTTCTTAAAGCTTATTATGGAAGGGAAGATAAAAGTAAAACGGAGCGTCGGAAGATATAAGTACTTTTGACTTAAAACCATAAAGGATTGGACAAATTTCGATGCCCATGCACTCTTTAGAGCCACACGAGATTGAGAGGAGTATGCCAAGATTGTCGCCAACGTCCACTAATTGTATAAAGTACCATAAAAAAATGTTCAATTTGTTCAATTGTCCAAGTTGTTTCATTTTGTTACTTGGAGATGTTTGAGGTCACTGAATACGAAATAATAACGATGATGCTCCTCTAGCTAGTTGGCCCTGAGCATTGACCTCTTCTCCTGAAGCTTGTTAATTTTATTCAAATCAGTCGACAGACATTTTTCGTGTGTTTTCGAGGTTACTAAATATGAATACAATAACGAAGACGGACATTGAGCTACCTGGTGCGCAGTTTGAACCTTGTCTCCTAGAGTTTTATGTTATGATAATTTTTTAGTTGCAAATTTTTTAATTTTCTTTCCACTTTGGAAATGCATTGTTCTTAAATGAATTTTATTTACAAACTTTCCTGACACTTTTCCATACCGAATGCAAAAAGTTTCAAAGCGATTGATCTTGCTGCAAAAAATTGGTGGGTTTAGTTCTTCGTTTCCTCGCCTACTATGTTAATTTAAAAAATTAGTGAAATTTAAAAATAAATAAGTTGTGACCATGTTAACAAAATGAGTAATATAACCCAATGACTTAACATTAATTTTGTTTTTTTTTTTTCAGTTTATATTTATCATGGTGATAGTATTTAATACAAGGATAATTTATCAAAAAAGTGCATATCCTGACTGGATGGTAGCAATTGGTTGGTTTTCGTCGATAGCTTCCATGATGTGTATACCACTTTATATGATATACAGGCTCACATATGTCGAAAAAGGAACCTTAAAAGAGGTAATAATATTAGTTATAAAACCAATAAATGAAAAAAATTTTATTCATAAGAATCAGTAGAACAGGTATAGTTTAGAAAGGGTTTTTTCATTTCAACCGAACTCCTTTACATTCTTACAGTAATAACGAAAATGTCAACGAATACATTTGATTACTACAATAATTAATATTCATTGTCTATAAAGAATCGTTTGATAGAGTAGACCTATGGACCATTGAATGCGCTCTGGAAATAGCCGAATATATAAGTTATAAAATGTTAATCCGCAAAATAATACCCGTAGAATGATTGAATACAATGAATTAATGAATAAATGCATGAATAGAATGAATTAGAACGAGGCAATGAGATATAATCTCACACACACTATTTACTCTGGCATTGTTGGATATTTTTAAATCGATGAACTTATACAACAAAGAAATGTTCGTTCATGTACATTGTTAAAACTTATTAGATTTGCTAATGACCCTTTACTGACACAATAAGTACAGAAGAAATTAGACACACAAAGAACAAAAATTATGTCTAATGTAAAAAAAGTAAGCGATTGACATAAGCGATAAAAAATGTAGAAAATATCCAAGAAAATAATTACTTACGATCAGCAAACAGGGTACAAGAAATTATCCAAATTAGAAAATAAACAAATGATTAGGAATAACATAGATGGCTATTATGAGACTGTAGTTTGCCATTAAAACACAACAATGTCTTAAGAAAAAAATATTCAGTGCATGTATTGTATCTGTTATGTCATAAGGGGTACCGATATTTACCATAATCGATTTATATAGAATAATTAAGACAACTTAAATAGCAATGTAAAAAAATGCTAAAAATAGCATGGTCAGATAGGATTAATAGACTAGGCAGCATCTGTAGAAATTCAGACCATAATGGAAATTTTCGATGGAAGCTATTTTTTTGCTGGAATCCCTTCAGGATATGCCCAGTATCGATAATCACGATATGCGCCAGTCGCAAACCCTGTGCTAAATTTTTTATTTAACAAAATCTGAAAACAATTAAAAATTTCTCATTTTTTTGCTCCTATTTTCATTTATAATTCGAAAAATGGTTATTGTTGAAAAAACAGCAATAATTGGAAAAAAAGTACAAAAAAATGAAGTTAATCCTTTAAATGTTTTCGACTTTCTAACCTTGACTTACAAGTTCCATATTCCGCCTGGAAAAACTTTTTATTATGTTTAAAACGTGTGCTAAATTTTGTTCAGATTGGTCGGATAAGTTTTGCATAATAATTTTGCAATCCAGCCTACTGGAAAAAAATCGCAAATTTTCAAATTCATAGTAGTCCCTAAATAAGGCCCTCAGATAGTTGCAATTTCTTTTACATATAAAGGAAGTCTCACACTTTCAAACGCTTTTTGTAAAATTCAAATCGGTTTACTAGTAAAGCCTATAAATTTTTTAAAATTATAAACATTTTTTAGGCTTATAAACAAATTAAATAACTTTACGAGCTTTAAACATATCAATTTTAAAATGTATACACTTAAATTACAATAAAAGACGCTTCTTTTAAAAAACAAAAAGATACATTCGGCTTGCTGGTTGCCGAGATATTGAAGGTCAAAGTTGGCATACATTTGCCGTGTAACCATAAGTGATAGAGGGCTCGTTTTTAAACAAATACCCTCGTCTTGTCAAATACTTTTTACATGAAAAGTTTTACGTAATGCGCTTTATGGCAATATCCATAAAAAAGACAAATAAAAAACCGTTTTCGCGTAATATGTCGCTCGGAATGCATGAGAGGTGGTGATGAGGGACATTCACATCAAATGTGAATCGGCGAGTATCAAGTAGGGGACCATCAGTTTGTTTAATTTCGGGTTTTGAAATAAAAACAAATAGTAAAGTGCTCCAAAATCTATAAGGGCTTGTATTAAAGGCGTGCTGAACACGTTTTACAGTGGTTTGATCATATTATGTTCCACGCTATTATATAGTAGTTATATTGTCAAATCTGTGAGTTTTTACAGTAAAATATTTTGTATTTCAAAAACTAATAAAAAGTTTATATATTTCGCGTTGCTTTGTGAGGATTGCACGAGCTCATCGACTCCATTTTAAGAGAAGTTCTGAAAGGTATAATATATTTTATATTTTTAAATATTTTATATAAAATAATTCACATATTACTAATAATTTTTTTACAAAATTATTCTAAATTCATATATTTTAAAATTTAGATAATACTTGGAATCTGAGAGGCTAAACTATTTTACGTTTTTAGATTCATTGATTTGAAAAGATGAGTAAAAAAATCTGCCTCCTTTGTGACGAAATATTGTCGGTATGTAAAACTCGAGTAATTAAACAAGACAGTTTAACAAAATGTATACAATCCAGTTTACAAAGGCAGGACATGAAACACATTGATTTAATAAAATTTAATTCGCTTGAAGTTGCAGAAATAAATTATTTTTAATGTTAATTTTTTTAAAATGTTTGATTTTTACAAAAAAAAATTTCCTTCGTTTTAACAATTCAAATTATTTATTAACAATTTATAAATACATATTTGTTTACAAAAAGTAACAATTTACTTTACAAGGCCCTTACAGATTTTGGAGCACTTTACTTTTGTTTATATTTCAAAACCCGAAATTAAACAAACTCATGGTCCCCTACTTGATACTCGCCGATTCACATTTGAAGTGAATGTCCCTCACCACCACCTCTCATGAGGGCCTTATTTAGGGCCTACTATGAATTTGAAAATTTTCGATTTTTTTCCAGTAGGCTGGATTGCAAAATTATTATGCAAAACCTATCCGACAGATCTTAACAAAATTTAGCACACGTTTTAAACATATTAAAAAGTTTTTTTAGGCGGAATATGGAACTTGTAAGTCAAGTTTAGAAAGTCGAAAACATTTAAAGGATTAACTTCATCTTTTTGTACTTTTTTTTCCAATTATTCCTTTTTTTTCAACAATAACCATTAAATTTTCAATTTCTAGCTAACAAAATATTGTGTAAAATTTAATAACGAAACTTTTAACTATCTATAATTTTTTCTCTAGGATCAATATTTTCCGAATTATAAATGAAAATAGGTGCAAAAAAATGAGAAATTTTTAATTGTTTTTAGATTTTGTTAAATAAAAAATTTAGCACAGGGTTTGCGACTGGCGCATATCGTGATTATCGATAATGGGCACATCCTGAAGGGATTCCAGCAAAAAAATAGCTTCCCTTCGAAAATTTCCAATCCAAAACAGATCCCGCCTAGACTATAAAAACAAATTGGCAAGGAATAAAACCAAAACAACAAGCACCAACGAGAAAACGAAGAGATTGGATGCTGTAGACCATATACAGCAAAAAGATCAGGAGGTGGCAAATACGGTGCAGCAATCATATTATGAAAGTTCTAATTAATTGATATTATGGAAGTTCGGTATCAATAAAATAAATAAACACAGAAAAAAAAAATGGGGACAAAGGGAAAAGACTACTGAGATTACTATTTAAAAAATTAAAGGAAAAGAGCACAAAATTAGTCGACTAATGTATAAGGGAACTCAATTACTAATAATCCCGATGCAGTGCTGGTCTAAATTCTAAAGAACGGTGGACATGCAAATTGTAATAAATATGAAGGTATATCTTTCATAAATTTACATATAAGACTTTTGGAAAACTGTAAAAAAATATGGCCAGAACCTACAAATAGGTGATACTAGGCATTCTTTAGAAGCAAAATGTCAATGATGGATTGATTTTTTACACTAGTCTTTTAAATACTTATCACTGAAACAATCTATCAGCAGATTTATTTTTAACAGATTTAATCGAATGTTGAAATACAGACATGAATAATTAAACGAGTAAGCGGAGGGAACCCATTTTATATACTGATAACAAATGTATAGAATTTTTCATATAAAAATGACTGCACGTCATTAAATATTATGACGTCAAAACTTCACAGCGTTGCCAAAACATCAGAATAGTTAGTAAGTGAGGAAGTTTTAAAATGTCAACTTTTTGACAAACTATTATATTAACAGTACACTTAGTTTTAAAACTACTACAATACACTAAAGTACAATAAGAAAACATTTTAATTGTTCTGAAGCTATTTACTTGTGGCATTTTAAATTATTTACTATTTAACTGGAAATAAGCCACAATTAAAGGTAAAAATTACAAACAGTAAATTGAATTAAATTTACTGTTTGTATTTTGAGAACGATTTCCGAAGTGGAAATTGAAACGTCAATAAACGTATTTTTTCCTTTAATTGTGGCTTATTCCCAGTTAAATAGTAATTAAGAAAACATTTTAATACAAAATTATATATTCTAAATTTTAAACTTCTTAAAATATGCTGTAATAATAATTATAATTAATGTTATAATTAATATATAATTAATATGTACGATTGCATGTCTTTTACTTTTTAAGACGTCAGAACCCCACAGCGTTACCAAAACATCAGAATAGTTAGTAAGTAAGGAATTTTTAAAATCTCAACTATTTGTTAAACTATTATATTAACAGTAAATACACTTAGTTTTAAGACAACTGCAACACACTAAAATAGAATAGGAAAATATTTTAATACAAAGCTACATATTCTAAATTTTAAACTTACCTCATTCAGACCATTAATAGTAAAAAAGTCCCGCCATTATTTCTCGTTCAAAATGATCTATCTTACATAAAAGCTTATCAGCTTTCTACAGACTATTTAGTTGTTTTGGCATAGCACAATTACAATACACAACACTATTTAGTTTTTAAAGCTATTAATGTAATTTAAATATGTATTTATAAATACAATTTATTAATATATAATATATTCTGATCAAGTTTTGTAAGAAATCGAAACATAAACAAAATTCTTACTCTAAAAAATCGGCAACACTTCAAACAATTTTGCCACACACTGAACTGTCATTAAAATTTGAACTATTTCCATATCAGTTACTTACAATTGTCTAATCTATTTAATTAAAATTAATATTTTGTAGAATGTTAGACTTAAAAAGTGCTTTCATAAAATTTATAATATTAATAATAACAAATGCTTTTGGTTACTTAATCAATATAATTCTAAATTTCACAATATAATGATGATTACATTTTTCTAATTATTATACCATTTTGACGCAAATGAAAGATCGAGCAGTTCCGTATGGGTTTCGTATTATTAGCCGTCTTAGGAAAATTTGAACTCTTGTTACGTCACTTTATATAAATTGTGACGTACAAAGTTTTTACTTTGAAAAATGGTATAGCTCTAATTTAAGGTACCTTACACGTTAAGTCACACTAATTCCTAGAATATACAGCTGAGTTAGTTTTTACATTGAACAAATACAGCACAACTAAAAAGATAGGTAAAAAGTAGGAAAAAATATTGAATATTATTATTTGGGTGTGCAAGATGTGCAATTATATTTTAAAATAAATAAAATTTTACTGTTAAGACAATCTAGAGTAAAATTTGAGTTAAATTGCTGAAACATTCTTATCCTTATTCACGATTTTTTGATTTAATGTGAATATATTTTTATTTAGAGAATTAATTCATCATTAAAAGACACTAACTGGGGACCTGCTGATCATGTTAATAGAGAAATGTGGGAGAAACATATCGGCATAACGAATGACATAGGTAAGTTGTAAGAATTCTACAATAAATAGTTGTTCGTACTATAATATCTATTATTTTTTAGCACACCAAAATCATAGCCAAGGGCATGAATTAAAACCAATATAAATATAATATTTGAAAATATTTCTCTTGTATATAAAAATAAAATTTACAAAATTTGACAATATTAATCATTTACCTGTTTACACTTTTCTTATAAAGTATTGGGGCAACAGGTGACAAGAACAAACGACAAGTAGTTTGAGTAATAGAATTCAAAAAAAAATTTAATTGACCTTAATTTTTTTTTAATTAAAATGTGGATTGTTATACCTCATTTAAAAGGTCTTTTAATAGTGTATTCAGTAATAGCGGCGTAATTAAACAAATGTTTATTCTTCGGAGTGAACAAACATTTATTTTATTTTTAAGTTTGAGAATTTGTTACTATTGTTAAAAAATATTGACAATAAGCTGATGTAAACATCTGGTATTTGATTAACTGTAACTTTTAGTGAAATTATCATCAGACAACTCCTGAACTAATCTTATTTAGTATGGATGGAATTTAGTTTTCACGTAAAATTTGCATTACGAATATTTGCGAAATCTGAAGTTTTCTGGATATTTGTATAGTACTTCAGTGTGGATATATGCAAAAGAGATACTTTTAAGAACAATTAAAACGATCGAAAATATCTACCAAACCAATCCAATAAAATTAAAAGTAGAAGAAGAGCTATCTGACCCTATTTATTTTCCTGTGTTTTGTACTGTTCGAACCAGATTATGGATAAAATAGTAAAAAAAGTAAGAGCTAAAAAAATACAAGAACTAACTGACCCTATTGGGGCTGACAATGGCATAGGAAAGGAAGATTTCCTATGTCGTCTATTGTTCAACCTGATTATGGATAAAATATTAAAAAAAGTAAGAACTAAAACAAAAAAAAACAGATCAAATTGGAGAAAACCCACTTAAAATAAACTGGATGCAGTCGACGCAATACTTTTCTTTCAATGTGAAGATGATTAACAACGGATGCTGAACCAATTTAATATAACCACTAGAAAATTAAGCATGTAAGTTTCCAAAAAAAAAGACAAAATGTATGGCTATAACAGCAAATTTACTAATATTTAAATTGGAGCTGGAAGGTCAGATATAAGCACAACTAATGGAGTTTAAATATCTAGGCTGGAATATTGTTTAGCTGGAAATTAAAGATCAAGTAAATAGAGCCGCAGATTGCCTGAATTAATCAACATAAAGAAATAGAAATATCGAGCAAGAAATAAAAGGCAGAATTTACAAAACCGTCAACAGACCAATAATGATATCTGCAGCAGAAACTCAACCTGACACAGAGAGAATAAAAAGGATGTTAGAACATAATCGGTGATTTCGTTCTAATCCAAATAGTTTGACCGTGAAAACTCCTACTACCTACAATCAAGAGCAAAATCTATGGCGAAGGAGTGTGCTTCTGAGTAATGTTTCATAGTTGCCATGACATCAAAACTTAAGTACTGCTTTTATTTGATTTTTATTGTGTTTTTTAAATGATAAACACTTATTAAACTAGTATCTAGTGTCAAAAAATGATTCCAATGCTTTAAAAAAATACAGATAAAAATTTTCAGTTTCGTTCACATCAATCCCGCCTCAGATAAATATCACAATTGTGACATTTAAGACGCAACAACTATACACTACAACAAATTTAAGTAAAATTATGACTAAAGTAAAATCATAAAGATTATCCAAACGCTATATTGGAACCAAAGTAGCGTAGCTCAAACTGATGGGCAACAGTCAGAACAAAATAAAGATCTGTATAAATAAGGAAGGTGTAAATCTGACAAAAGGTATATCGAAGCAACCTATCCTAATATTATTAAAATATAAAATCGGGAATTAGGCGATCTCAACACTCAATGGCTATCCAACGGAATCCTATATTTACTCGATCTACTATTAGGAAACAATTATTCTCTATCTTCTATTTATGTAGACGTGACTCTGTCTGCTTTCCAATATGCCTCCAGTACGTTGTCGTTCCATCGTTTTTGTGGTAATAAACAGTTGGATAGAGTACTATGGACTGCACGGCATATATTTTGTTACAAAAAACACATAGTAAAGTGTCTGTCTCTCAGGATACCTTTGGCAGAATTCTGATTTGAGGTTTGAGACCTAAATAAGTAATACCTCAAAAGGTACAGGAAATGAAGACACCGAAAATAAATAGTTTTTAAAATCCCTAAAAAAAACCGAATTGATTATCGGTTAAATTATCTGAACAACAATAACGGGATGATGGTTAGAAACATTGGTCTTAAAATGGTGGACTAAAACATTCACTTTGTTGTCGGTTGCCCATTGGCCAAAGCCATGTAAATGAAAAAGCCCAAATTGTTTTAAAGTATTTTATATACGATAATTCTCAGTAGTTTTTGTTTGTCATAATTGTTAAGAAATATTCACTGAAGGGACAAGTGAAGCTAAAAATGTGAGTGGTGAAGCTACATACAGAACAAAAACTCTAACTAGATAAATTACTGTAAGAAATCTATTTAAGTGTTGCTACGCTAATAGTAGCAAACAATTTTCTGTTTTGTAAGATTTATCAAGGTAACTTTCTCTTAGCACATTCCAATGAATTCGCTGGTATAAAGCATTCAAAACCTGTTTTTAACCATTGAAAACTGGTACCTAGAAAATCTCTGGTTAGCAATCATTTAAAAGGAGGTTTTAGTTACCTCATAGAAATTTTAAAGAAATTTTCCCTGACCCCTAATAGGGAAGGCAGTAATAATTTGAAAGTAAAGTAGGCAACGTAGTTAGAATATACCATTCAATTAGGTCATGTCATAGTACAGTAAAAGAAAATAAAAAATACTTTCCCAAACATCTGCCAATAACATTATCAATATTAGAAACGAATACGACCCCAATAAAATAAACTTGAAACTGAGTAAAACGTATTTTTTTATAAAAATGAAATTGCTCTTAAGAAATGAATGAAAAAAACAAATTAAAAAAAAAAAGAAGAAAATATATACCTATATTTTCTGCTTTGTCATTTTGGTACCTAAATGTCAGTGATCGAAATTTTCGGGGTCTTTTAAAAGTGAAATTTGCTGTGATTTTAAAATTTTCGTGCTATTCAAAATTAGCAAAATGGAAGCAAAGAAAGATACCACTGCAAGAACTAAAACTTTCACCTGGTGGGAGAAACCTAGTATCCAGTATGCGTAAGTACCAGAATTATACACAATTATATATATGTATGACTAGTTTAAAAACCGAGAGAATATTTTAAAAGTTTGATTTTTGCCAAAAAAATTAATCAAAACCTCATGCGATTTTTCTCTATTATGTCGAGATTTATTTAGTCATCCAAGTTATTTGATCACTAAATACCTTATCAAATTCAGTTGTGTATTCACCTAAATGCAGGTAACAAAAATAAGCATTGAAAGACCGGTCCTGAACATGGTAATACAAATTGTGTTTACATTTCAGTCCTGTAAAATTGTCTTTTTTAAAAATAATCTATATCTAAATAAACTTAAACAAAAGCAATTAGTGATCGTATACAGTGGAGCTACGTTACGGAATACAACAATAAGTTGTTTTTATTATTATATATATATATATATATATATATATATATATATATATATATATATATATATAATTCTTTGGAGGGTAACTTTCGGGAAAGCGTCAAAACAAGGATCAGCTAGAGATGGTATAAGCCAGCTTGGTGTAGAACTTTATTCTAAATGTGAAATTTTCGGTGATATGTTGTCACCTTCATCAGCACCTAAATGGAAAACCTATTATAGTACAGTGGTGGAAATCAACATTTAAAAACCTACATTGAAAATGTTCAGTTGGTCCTAGTTGTAAAGAACACTGTCACAAACATGTTAAAAATATTAAAAAATACATTTAAAATTTTGAATAAAAACTTAAAAAAATTTACCTACCTGTGCTTTAGAGGGGACTTCATTTCCTTGCTTATTATGTTGCCTAGGGCTCTTTCTTTTCGTATCCATGTGGTTGTGAGGTGCAAAAGTGAAAATTATAACCTCGTTACATATGACACCCGGATGTTGACAGAAATATGTCATCAAAAAGAAGATTAATTCTTCTTTTCTATTTGCAGTTTTTGTAGGTTGTAAATTTTAGACTTTTTGTTGTGTTTGTATTTGAAAAACTACCCTGTTTGTGTTGTAATGTTTTTATTCAAAATTTTAAATGTATTTTTTAATATTTTTAACATGTTTGTGACAGTGTTCTTTACAACTAGGACCAACTGAACATTTTCAATGTAGGTTTTTAAATGTTGATTTCCACCACTGTACTATAATAGGTTTTCCATTTAGGTGCTAATGAAGGTGACAACATATCACCGAAAATTTCACATTTAGAATAAAGTTCTACACCAAACTGGCTTATACCATCTCGAGCTGATCCTTGTTTTGACGCTTTCCCGAAAGTTACCCTCCAAAGAATTGTATTCTTAGCGTCGTTATACACACTCTATTTACAATAATTGACTACAAAAATGGGATTCCTACAACAGATAAAGAACATTGACGGTAACACTGGAGTTAAACATGCGAAAACTTACATGTCATCACTAACAAAAATGGCTTCAGCAAAGAACAGGCTCATCTTCGTGTACGAATGCAGGAGAAACAACATAATTCCTAGATTTTTACAACAGGGTACAGAAAGGATCCTCTTAATACCTGAAAATACAGAAAATAAAAATACAAGAAAAATATCATACTTAAGAAATCTTGTAACAAAGAGGATTCTAAACATCACTATTAATGAAACTAATACAAAAATCAGAAATTTACAGACAAACATAGATAAATCAATAGAGTATCTTAATAACAAACTCTCTTACAACATGATGTCGGATTTCCTGAGACTACAGGACAAAAGATATAAAAGAATATTCAACTGTATAAAAAGAAGCAACATCTCAAAACTTAACCAACTTAAAGATCCTTTAACTTCACTCACAACTACAAATGAAAATGCATGGTTGGTAAATCAATCCAAAGTGACTTTGCCTCAAGACATAAAATCTTTTCTATCATTAGGTCCAAAATTTTCACTACCAGTCTCAGTGAAAGATATTGACATGTACACATACCTAGCAGACATTGAGTAATGTATTAAGAAACTCCCTACAGATTCACAGAATTTGCAACGTTCAAAAATCACGAATATCATTACCAACCACATCAAAACCAACCGTTATTACATCAGTCCATCCATGGCCATTGAAACAAAAACGAGAAAATTTCTGAAAGACAACCCTGATATTATAGTAACAAGAGCAGACAAAGGTAACACTACAGTCATAATGGACAGAAACGAGTACATCACCAAATCATTTGAACTTCTCAATGACCCACATTCCTATAAAAAAATCCCCAAAGATCTGACTCCATCAGTAGAAAGAAACACTAACTTACTAATAAAACAACTACATGAAGAAGGATATATTACCACCAAAACAAAAAAAGAATTAACCAACTACACCGGTACCACCCCAACATACTATGGACTTCCAAAAATTCACAAAGAAGGGTGCCCTCTACGTCCTATAATTGCTTGCAAGAATGCCCCCACTCAATCCTTGGCTAAATATCTGGCAGGTATTATTGACACTTCTTTTTCTTCTCATAATACCTACAAAATTAAAGATTCTTTTGAATTTGCAAATAAGATCAATGGGTTTTTACTACCTTCAGGATATGTCTTGGTGAGTTTTGATGTTACTTCCTTGTTTACCAACATCCCTCTTGAACTGGTAGTTTCTATTCTGACAACTAATTACCATCTTATTGAACAGAACTGTACAATTCCCAAAGTTTTGTTCCTGAAACTGATTACCTTTTTATACAACAATACATATTTCACTTTTCAAAATGAATTCTATGTCCAAATAAAAGGAGCACCCATGGGTGGAGCTATATCCCCTTCTTTGGCAGAAATTGTAATGAACTCCCTACTTCACTACTGTACTCAAGAAGTTGATTTCCAGTTCCCCTTTATTTACCAATATGTAGACGACCTCATATGTGCAGTCCCTGCAGACAAAATCAACTACACTCTTGACATTTTTAACTCATATAACACTCACCTACAATTCACAGTTGAAACAGAAGAAAATAATAGTGTTCCATTCTTAGACACTAAACTATCAGAACAGAACAGAACAGAAGATTAACATCATCAAAGGTCTGAAAAACAGAATAAAAAGAATTTGTCACCCTTCAAACTACAATAAGAACATCAAGTTATTGTATGAGATTCTTAGAAAAAATCACTACCCTAAGATGCTTCTTAATAAATTGCTATTTCAAGATATGCCAACAGTTAGAACACAGCAAAGACAAACATTAGAAGGAGAAACAGTAGAAGTGTTCTATGGGAGATTGCCTTACATCAAAGGTTTATCACCACAGATCACAAACCTTTTCAGACAGTTCAACATAGTGATAGCAAATTCTGTTTACAAAAGATTAGGGACATACTTTACTCACCTGACAGAAAGAGTTAAAAAACTGGATAACTTCAATGTAGTGTATTCTATTCCATGTGGTTCTTGTTCAGAAGTGTATGTCGGTCAAACCAGCCAGAAACTCTCAAAAAGAATAGCTTTGCACAGGAGTGATGTTGTGAGGAAGCCCACCAGCACAGCCTTTAGCCAACATATTAAGAATACTGGACACACTGCTAACTATGAAAATGTGCAAGTACTAAAGAGGGTTGACAACCAATTTAAGAGAAACTTCATAGAAATGTGCTACATCCATAACTGCAGCTCTCCTATGAACTGTAAGAAAGATGTTGAAAACTTAAGTTGTATTTATTCCTTTCTACTTCAACAGGACTTGACAAGAAGTAACAAACTGGAAAATGTGGGAAACTTATCATGACATGCATAGTTTACCTACCTGTGCTATAGAGGGGACTTCATTTCCTTGCTTATTATGTTGCCTAGGGCTCTTTCTTTTCGTATCCATGTGGTTGTGAGGTGCAATAGTGAAAATTATAACCTCGTTACATATGACACCCGGATGTTGACAGAAATATGTCATCAAAAAAGAAGATTAATTCTTCTTTTCTATTTGCAGTTTTTGTAGGTTGTAAATTTTAGACTTTTTGTTGTGTTTGTATTTGAAAAACTACCCTGTTTGTGTTGTAATGTTTTTATTCAAAATTTTAAATGTATTTTTTAATATTTTTAACATGTTTGTGACAGTGTTCTTTACAACTAGGACCAACTGAACATTTTCAATGTAGGCTTTTAAATGTTGATTTCCACCACTGTACTATAATAGGTTTTCCATTTAGGTGCTGATGAAGGTGACAACATATCACCGAAAATTTCACATTTAGAATAAAGTTCTACACCAAGCTGGCTTATACCATCTCTAGCTGATCCTTGTTTTGACGCTTTCCCGAAAGTTACCCTCCAAAGAATTGTATTCTTAGCGTCGTTATACACACTCTATATATATATATATATATATATATATATATATATATATATATATATATATATATATATATATATATATATATATATAAAAAACTGTTTTTGATGGGTTGGAGTCAATAAAAGGAGCTATTTGTTGACTATTTTTTACTCGAGCTTTCAATTGTGATTACAATTTTTATCAAGAGCTTCTAAAAAATACAAAATATCTTACAAAGTTGAACTAGAAATAAAAAATTTTTTGTTAACTCATCAAATAAAATTAGTTTTTATATAAAACTACTGCTTACATATTAAATACAAAAAATATTAACAAAAAAAAATGTCTTATTCTAGTAAATGTTTCTCTGAAAAATTTTGATGAAGTTTCTTCTGACATAAATATAACACATATTTCAGATATAATATATCAATACAAACATGAACTCTATCGAAACAAATACACTCTTAAAGATTTAAAAAAAATAATATATTAAAATTAACTTATTATATATAATTAACTATTATTATTATTATATATAATTAACTTATTACTTACGATAAGTTTCTTTTCTTGTTGAATAAATAAACCACAATCTAACTCGGCAACACTGTAACCATTAAATCTTCGTCCAGGTAATTCTCCTGCTAAAATTTAACGACCAGCTAATAAAAATCCTAAAAATTTATGTACCGGTAGTTCCGCATAAATAATAAAGTGTTTAGTTGGACGTAAAT